CTCTCAACTTTGCTCTTGACTTCATGAACTATGTAAGGAAGAAATGAAACAGGAAGTCGACTTGTCGACATGGGCCTTAAACGGTCCGGTCGACGGGTACTCACTTGGGATAAGCTTGAGAGGGAGAATGAGGGGAACAAGTCACTGTGACATACTTTTAGCACACAATAGAATGATTCCAGTGAGTTCACTGTGCAAGCGATACACCACTCATGATGTATTGTTATTATTCTTCTATACCTTCCTACCAGCACATGAGCTTCTTCGTTTTATTCAAAACCGCAAGATTGAGATTATACAAATTCTCGCGCTCTTGTTATTAATAATCGTATTGTAGTATTGAGTAGGTTGAAAACAACATGAAACTACTATTGAGAACGAGAACAAACATTCTACTACTTTGCTGAGAAGAGACTTCAAAAGGTCTAATTAACATAAATTAAACAATAATAGATACTTGAACAACAATTAAGATTTTTTATCGCAATATTTGAGAAATAAGCTAATACTAGATAGATTTCGAGACAGGGGAAAGTTTATTACATTAGGCTAATTGCTAAGTTGGGTTATGTCTCATGGAGTAATAGTAAAAATTTATTTAGAAGCTAAGAGATCATGAGATTTAAATAAATTTAAATTTTTTAAATATTTCATGACATTAAAGTCTACTTTCAATCAATTAAGTTTAAAGATATTAAAATTATTAGTATTATTCATTTAATTATTATATTATTCATATCATTAAAGTTACTGGTGTTATTTATTATTATTTAATTAATTTTTTAGTCGTTAAAAGTACATAAATCCGACTGGATCTATAAATAATGTCCACAATAAAAAAATTAATTAGTTTCTCATTAAATATTCTAATTTAAAATTTATCATTAATATTTATCATTTTTTCAATTTGATTGATTATATAAAATTAGTTAAATATTTTTTTATATAAATAAAAAGACTGTTAAATAGTTATCCATGATCTTAACTTGGCAATGAAAAAAATTTGAAAAATGGTTTAAATCTTAAAATCTCTAGAGTTATGAGCTGTCAAAGTAACAAAGCTAGTCGAAATTATTTAACTTTCTATTATTAAGTTGTTACGGTAATCAATATAAATTGATCATTAGGTCACGTATATCCCTAGGAAATTCATTGTAAGTTAGTTCAGGTCGTGTACGGTCTGTCGAGTTTGTCCAGGGGTTTACAAGGCACTCAGAGGGAGGCTTCTCTTCCCAAAGTGTCTGACCAACGAATCTGTTGTGCTCCAGTTACGTTTCATGTCAACGACTTGGTGATAAAAACATATAATCCAATTGACTTTGGATGTTAAAATTAAAGAAAGAGTTAAGGACCAATAATATCAAACTTTAAATACTTCAGTTATATTTGAATTAATATTTTTTTTATCAATCCATTGAAAAGTATTTCAATTAATTCTTGAAAAGTAGTTGAAATCACATTTTTTAGTTATAAAATGGACAATTATTGGTATAAAATACATTAAATGAACTTCGATAGAATAAAATGTAGTTGCACAATGACTTTTAGAAGTTTTATACAAAGAGCTTCATGGTCGAATTGCTGTCAATTAAATAATAATTGAAATGTATTTAAAATCATTAAAGGATTAAAGAGTGAATTGATAAAAGAATATAATAATTTATATGCCTGGTATAGACTTATAATTGATTGTATAATATAATGTTAGTTAAAAATGATACATTTTAATCAATAAATTCCGATAAATAAACCACTTTCATGATTTCATGTCTCCATAACTTGAGTTATTATACTAAATATAATAATGGTGATTAGTTACATTTAATTTATTTTACTAGATAACTATAGTGTTATAATTGGAGGGAATAATTAACTATTTTTGTTTTGTCAATCTCTACTCAACTGATTTATTCTTTTGAAGTTTTCTATGATTATGAATAGCTGAGGTATGCATAAATTATGTAAATACTTCAAATTCCATATCAAAAAAGTAGTTTATTATGCAACAAAACATACTTGATAAATAAGTCTTTTAAACCGTTAAATAAATTTATTTTGTAAATTAATTAAATTAATTTGTAAGTTAATAAAAAATAGAGTATGAATAAAAATATTGGCCAAAATTTTAATAATGTATAGATCATTGTCTAATAAGAAAACCGTTTCTTCATAATTGATATTAGGAATAAATTATTAATAAAAAAAGCTGTTTGTATGTTATAAAAGACATGAGGCAACAAAAAAAATGGAAAAAAAAGTTAATTTTTATTTGATTGTTTATAAATACATTGTTTATAAATAGATAAATTTTTAATAAATACAAAATTTTAATAACATGATATTTACATTCACACAAATTAATGAAATTCAACGAAAATGGATTTCAATTACTCAAAAATAAATAAATATAAGAGAATATTGAAACATGGAAGCTAAATCAAGTCATGTCAAAAATATTAAAACGAATATTTTTGAAAATTTAATAGAAAGTCCACTTTTAATTGGTCCCTAAAAATTGAATTGTTTTATAATAGTTCCTTTGTATTAAACGTCCATTAATTTTGACAGTATTCCGATGGTTGTTTGATAGTTGAGAACTAGAATGGAAAAATACTTTGGATGGTGATGCATCGATAGTGACAAGGTAAAGGACTTGGGGAATAGGAGGTGGTAGTGCTATCAAGTGTATCGACACTTGTTGCGGCAGATAACGTATTTACAGTTCAAAGTGGACGCCCGGAGTGTCTGTTAGAATGTAAGTGGATGTACAGGCTGTCTATGACTACACATGTGAGAGTTAGATAGTTGGAGAGTAAATTGAGTTGTATCTCACTATGTTCAAACCTTTAATTTGTAGCACTTAAGTCCAACTGAGAGAATTATCACATAAATCGATACTAGAATGGATTAAGAGTAAGACCACCATCCTATTTTAGGTACAGCCTAATTTTATCCAGTTACTACAATCTGATAGAGTCTATCAAGAAAGTATAGAATATTACTATCTATTTGTTGAATAATCATTTTGTCCTTATTTTACAATTATTTCCGGTAGTGACACAACTCTTAGCTTCTTACTAACTAAAAACATTGTAACTTAAGAGTGATTCATTATTTCCTTGGCATATAATCACCGTTCCAATGAGTAAGCATGATGTAAACGATATCATTTTCTTATTTCTGCCACTGTTAACTCATAATTATCACGTTTCATTTCATTTAATAATTTTTTTTTCTCTTCATAAAAAAAATCACTTAGTTTTCAATGTTCTAATTAGAAAAAAAAGTTTCAATAGATTTTTTATTTTTTTTAAAGTTCCTTTTAATAATGTTGTATAGTTAAATTAAAAACAATACTTTGTAAACTAATAGAATATTTAAATATATTGAATATTAATGTTGACAAATAAAAGAAGAATCCTTCAGTAAGATTAAAAGCTCTGTAAAATTTGCTATAGAAATACATACATTTTTCAAGAGAAAAAAAAAATTCGAAAATGAGTATACTACTTAAAAAATTGAATTCATTGAATTCAATTGAATCATGAATTTACTGATCAAAAAATAACTAATAGTCTGTTGGAAAAAATAAATAATAATAAGCTGTGATAAGATATTGTTTTATCAACATCTCAATGATTCACAATAAATGAAAAAAATGTGTCTTACTACATACATGGCATATTATGGATTAATTAGTGTTATTGAAGTTGATTGCGCTTTTATTCATTTCATTCGAAAGCTATTATTAGTGCATTTCTTCGAGGGGATGTTAATAGAAGTTGTCTACATTACTAGATCTCACTTGTAGGTCTAGACATAATTAATTGATTGATAGATACAGATATCAAAAGTTCAAGGTAATCCTATTTCCAATTCAACCAAGAAGTTTTGCCAACTTGGTGCTTATTCAATATGCTACAATAGGAATCCTTATTATAGTAGATAGATGTATAAAGCTGAGTGTGGGAACGTATTCCGTCAATCTGTCTCTTCAGCAGACGTAGTTTGTTGCCTGAAGTAACGAGAAATCATTGTTACGCTTGAATAAACTTCTTGCCTATCAACAACTCCATTTCTTCATTCTCTTTTCATTTTTGCTCGTTTTTTTTTGTTTTTTATTTTTTAGTCTAATCTTCAAAAACGTGTTTCATCAAAAGCCTTATCGATTCATGGAGACTAAACAATAATTAATTCTCTCTCTGCCTAGCCCCTTGTAACAAAAATGGAAATTCGATTGCTAGGATATTCTTGTGATAGAACAATAGAATTTTATTCTCTGTAAAATGTAGTTGTATAAATTAACTATTTCTAGTGTCCAATAATCGATCATGTTTTATTTTTAATTAACACAATTTAATTAAGTTGTGCAACAATTAAATACATTATTTAAATGTTTGTCGAATTTTAAGTACTTTATTTTGAAATATAATTTAATATTGAAGTTATCAAGCTTTAATAGGCTCGTTCAGATATTAATTAATAAAGGGAACTGGGTTTAGACTTATTAATTTGTTGAAAATAATTTAAAATAAAAATGTTAAATCAAACATACTTGATAATCAAATTTTATCATAATCATTAAAATGTTTTTGTTAAATAAAAATTTTGTGTTCATGATAGCTGATGTAAGCAAAGTATAAAACATTCTAGTTTTATTAAAAACTAACTTGATCTTTTCAAAATTAAATTTTCAAAGTTATGAAAAGAGTTCTATGTAACTGAGTTTAATTCAAACATGTTATTTAAATAAAATTTATCATGAAAAAAAAAAAAGAATGAAAAAGTTAAAATCTGAAAGAGAATCAATAGTTATTAATTTATTTAATTTCGTCCGTTATTAATAATATTCAAAATATTATTAAAGTATTGTAGAGTATTTGTCAAAACTTTCATTTAAAAACATAATTGATCGATATGTGTAATATGTATTTTAATATTTTATTGAATATAAAAAAATGGAATTATTATTAAAATGAATTTGATCTTTTATGTTACAGGTATAGCTGGCTAGAGAGACTAGAGAACAAGACGAAGCGAATTCGGTGACCCTTCGGCTGTGACAGGGAAAGAATAGTTAGTTAGAAAAGAAAGAATGCGTGAATATAAAATAGTGGTACTGGGTAGTGGAGGTGTTGGCAAATCAGCCCTCACTGTCCAGTTTGTTCAAGGAATATTTGTTGAAAAGTACGACCCAACTATCGAGGATAGTTATCGCAAGCAAGTTGAAGTTGATGGTCAACAATGTATGCTGGAAATTTTGGACACAGCTGGCACAGTAAGTTTTTTCATTTATTTTTTTTTCAATTACTTACAAAAAATGTTCATGAATTAATTGTTTTATAATTTTTTTTTTTTTAGGAACAATTCACAGCCATGAGAGATCTTTACATGAAAAATGGTCAAGGGTTTGTTTTAGTTTATTCAATCACTGCGCAATCGACGTTTAATGACTTACAAGACCTTAGAGAACAAATATTACGGGTAAAAGATACAGATGACGTTCCAATGGTACTCGTTGGTAATAAATGTGACTTAGAAGATGAAAGGGTAGTAGGAAAGGACCAAGGTGTCAACCTTGCTCGGCAATTCAACTGCGCCTTCATGGAGACCTCTGCCAAAGCTAAAATTAATGTTCATGACGTGAGTTTAATATTTATTTAAATATTCAAAGAGATGTTAACCGTAATAAGAAAACTATTTTCATCTACAAAAGTTTTTAAATGGATTTATAAAAAGATTAATAACTTTTTACATCTGAATTAAATAATCAAATAATAATAAAATAAATATATTTACATCAGTGAGTCGTCATCTATTCAGAAAAATGATTATTATATTCAAATGATACATCAAAAAGGTAAAGTTGGCAACTCACTTGTTTGAAAGCTAATGAATAATCATTAATAAATTATAAAAACATTTATGGATGAAACTTTATTTCTTAACAATCATCAATGTTCTTTTAATATTTTTTAATTAAAATGTTACATTAATTAATAATATTCTAATAAAAATAAATATTGTTGCAGATCTTCTATGACCTTGTGCGACAAATTAATAAAAAATCACCGGAGAAAAAGATAAAACAAAAAAAGAAATCGTTGTGCCTACTTCTTTAAAGTGAACAAGGCCTTGGCCATGACACTTTTCATTGAGTGTCAAAAAGAGTTAAAAAGGGGAAAGCAAATAATAAATAAAGATAAAATAAAATTAAGTCGAAACTAAAAAATCGGTGAATTAAATTGATGAGATGTGGAAATCTTAGTAATAATAATAACAAACAAGGGGGCTGAACGTACGATGTAATAGACGAAGAAAAATAATATGAAAAAATAATAATAAAAGAATGAAAAAACACATAAAGAGAGAAAAAAAGGCAAATAGGTATGATAAATGATGAGAGAAGGTTGTACAACAACTCTAATATGGAGAACGAGGGGTGGAAAATTGTACATAAGGTTGTTCTGGGTCGGCTTAGGTGCACGCGCATCAACAGCGCACAAAAATATGGTCAAAGAATACGAAAAACGTGTATACGAAGCCCCATAACATCGGCCATCACTGTAATTTTGCATTAAAAAATTGATTTTATGTATTTAGAAAAAAAAAGAAGAAAATGAGACGAAAGTTAACTAATGTTTTTAATGTGCGCGTGTGCAAGCCACCAGCCCCCATGCATTCGCCGCGCACCTCTCTCTCTCTCTCTCTCTCTAATATATAATATAATAATTATAATTATAATTATTATTATATATAGACGATACCTACAATGATTATTATTATCAAAGTATCAAAATATTCATAAGTTATCAACCGTTTGTTTCTCAAACAATATATGTTTTTCTATATCTCTCCGTATTGACGCAAATAATAAAAATTCAGTAAATGTTAAAATTTTTCGTTTATCTTTCATTCATTATTTATTTCTCTTTACGCTTAAGGTTAAGGCACCGATTTTTAAAATGCACTAGTAATTGACTGTTACCTTATTGTCTTACTATAATAATTATATTTCTGTTTAAATAACAGCTCTTTATTATTAATCTTATTAAAACGCATTTTATTCTTCGAATATATATTTTTAGTAAGTTGGAAATGTATAAATTGTAGCATTTTATATGTTATCATTTTTTTACTATTATTAACATTAAAACCATGACAATTTTTTCGATGTTAAACAAAAATTGTATTTTTGTTGTAAGTCACAGTTTTAATATACTTTCTTTGTGCTCGTTAGTTTGAAATATTATTTTTAATTGAATAATGATTATATTAAATGGTTTGAAAAAAAAAATAAATAGTTTTTTTGTAGTTATAGATTCATCATTTTATTATATTTAAAATAATATTACTGTAGAATATTTTTACAACATTTAAAACTACCTAAAATCGAATTTTAGTTGTTAATATCTTTGTTATAAATATAAAAATACATATTCATGTATTATAAGAAAGATAAATAACAAATTGATAATTTTACTATCTTATGTTCATTATGTTTTTAAAATATCTACAAATATTGAAAAGTAAAACATTGTTTCAATATCATTTTCAGTTCAAATAAAAAAATTTAAGATATAAAATAAAATTTTCTTGTTAAATAGTCAATTACTAATGCTTGTATTAAGATTAAATAGTTTAACCATCATAAGTTTAATTCTACATCAACAATAATTACACAACTTGCAATAGTTTGACAATTAATATTTAGCATATCTTGAAAAAATTAAATTTCTTTATTTTTTATTCAATTAAATTAATCTACATAATCATTTTTAGACATGAAATAAATTTATTATTGCTATAACAATCACATTAGAAGTAATAGACAGTTTCCAATTTATATTTAGATATGTCACAGCGGCACTTGTACTATTACAACAATTATCCAGAGATTCTACGATTAGACGTGGATAATAATCATTCCAGAATGCGAGCATTCTATGATCAATAGCATTAACATCGCTGTTACTGAATGTTCTATTAATAGTAAGAAGACCTGGTAATTTTTCAGTAAATGGATCCCATTTTATACTATTCAACGATGGATGCCCAGTTCTAATAAAACTTTCAATCATTGTCATCATAGCATCAGCAAGATTTCTATCACTGACACTCCAACCCATTTTACTACCAAGCATATTTGGCAAACCCCAGACAAAAGGAAGCTCAAACATGTGAGGAACACCCGCCCACTCTGGAACATCTTTAACTACATATGGAGTAGTAGATCTATAATCAAACCGATAAACAAATACTTTTGCTTTCTTGGAGACTTTAGAAGCAAAAAAAATTATACTTGATGCATAGTTTTTTTCTGTTTGTAAAGCTAAATATTTATTTCTTAAAAGCATTGGATCATCTGATGGTGGATAAGGTCTGTAAAAAAATAACACTGCTTCAGCAACCATATTAGGCTTAGGCTCACAGTTGCTAGTATTATCAAAGGGAATATTGATAGAAGCCAAAATTTCATCTGTGATTTTACTTTCAAATTTATCTATTGTTAATGTTCCATCATCATTAGAATTTTCTTCTATATAAGCTAAAGATAGTTCGTGGCTGGTATATCCAGTCATCAGAGGCACGGCATTAAAGTCTTCGTCTTCTAAAATAAATCGTGGATGCTTCGGTAGGAATGGAGCTGATGAATTATTGGTGTCGAGATCGACGATTGGACCCCAAGATTCAATGTGTGCTGTCCGGTTAAGTAAAATATGAGCAGGTACACTTCGAAGACATTCTATAAATGCTGATGTAGGTTTAAAATTGCAGTGATCAAAGATACTAGCAATTTCTTTCAACACAGTCAACTCCATTTCAGGTGTTCTCACTGTTTCTATAGGATCTCCACTCATGGCCATGGCTTTGGCAAACTTCCCTTTGCTTAGTGGACTTACGATGTGTAATCCTACACTAATTGCTCCAGCATTATGTCCAGCAATCACTACATTACTTGGAGATCCACCAAAAAGCTCGATGTTCTTTTGAATCCAATCCAAAGCCGCAACTTGGTCAAGCATTCCATAATTTCCTGGCGCTTCTGCATCAGCTGTTGTAAAAAATCCAAAGATATTCAGGCGATATGCTACCGTGACGACTAGAATCTATAAATGATAGGAAGGAAATTATTATTAAAAAAGAATAAGAATTAATTTTTTTTTATCAGCCTTGAACTCTTTTGTCAGGACATTGATTTTTGATTAGTGTTGCTAAAAATATATGCATCGGTGAAGGATGTCATTTAGCATAACTTTATGATTTTAAGATCAAATTATTTTATATAAAGAGTTTATAATTCATTGGAATTTAACAGAAGAGGTAATTTAACGAGGGCTAATAGTTTTTATGTTCATTGATTCTGATATTGTCAGAAGTCTAGATAGTTTCTTTGTACCAATTATTGACTTCTATTCAATTCTGAAGACTCTCAGACATCCAAACAATTCAAAATAATTATTAAAAAAATCTGATCTTCCTTGGTATCTTAGCTTGCAACTAAACATTACAATGCATTTTTTTGTTTTTATTATCGATCTTATTTACTATTAGAAATTGAAGATTATCAGATAGTTGTATAGTCTAGAGTAACTAAGGAATCCTTCTTGAGCTGCCATATAAGTTTTTTGTATCAAAAAATATTTTTTTAAGTAATTATTAATTTTATTTTTCATTTTTTTGTCGAATCAATCAACAAAAAAACTTGACATAATGTAGATATTTATATTCCAAAACTTTCAGAAAATATTCATTCCCATATGTTCATTTAGAATATAAATAATCTTTTACTATCCTAGACTTATTAAATATTAACCCCATTTTATCGCTTGAAGCATTTATATTTCAAGCTATATAATCTGCAGAATATCAGTTATCATTAAATATTAAAATTTAAGTTAAAATTTCACCTCTTTCTTATTAACAAAAGTAGTGGCGTCCCAAATAGCTGGAGTACCGGTGTTAAAGTCTCCACCATGGAACCAAACCATAACAGGCCAGCCCTCCTTTGGTGATTGTTCTACAGCTAAAATCAATAAATAAATAATTACTTTTTTCCCACAATACACTAGAAAACGTAAAAAAAAAATTTTGTGTAATGCAAAGCCACCTTATTTCCAATATTACAATTTACTAAGTCATTTCCGGTAGATTAATCTCTGGTGGATAACTATATCAATATTAATGTTACTTCACCCTTGTCAAAACATCAGGGCTTCTTCACGAATGATTATATATTCCCGAGGCTATCGAGATCCATCAGTATATTAATTCAATCAACAGCTAATCGATCAGGAAGCTCCTGAAGCCATCATTTCCTCATTTAACACTTGTCTGTCTCCTGTACAAACCTACGTCTTTATTTTCTTAATCGACTTTTTTATAATGCCATTTTTGTGATTGAAATAATTTCAATTTCTCAAGAGTCTTTGGAATCTAAAGGCGCAATGTCCTTGAGCTGATTTGTAAATGAACGTTTATCTCGAATGTATGATCTAATCTATTATATATGAAGGTGTGTGAGGGTTAACGTTAGTTATGCTTTGTCGAGTTCCCTCCCTAGAGGCATTAAGCCCAATGAATTCATCTTACTCTCAAGTTAAAAGGGTGCGGCAAATGATCTAGTCGACTAAACCCACCCTGGGGCTTACAAAAGTAATGGAAGACCAAGGCTTCGTGACTCGAATCGTATCTCGACATCTTCGCTGGCCCTAAAAGATCGCGTGCCACTGGCTGCACCAGTTATACTCCGTTACTTCTATACTAGTATCGACCATTCTTTCACCCCCCAGGGGGTTCGAACGTCAATTACATGCCGAATTGCGTAGTCGTATTTTTTTTATTTCCGACTGTTGTCTTCTTAATCTTTTTCTTTGTTAATACTTTCCGCTACTTAACTACGAAAAATCACTTTTCTCCGATTGAATTTTTTTGATGGCTTCAATATGTTCTGCTAGTGAGAGATTTCATTCTTTCATTGATGTTATTTTGGTTGATGTCGTGTTCAATTATCACTACTAGATTAGAAATTATGTTGATGTCATGATATTTTTCAATTTTAATCAGATTTTTTTAGATTATCTCTATATATTGTATAAGATTGATAAAATCAGTTCAAAAATAAAACTTTCTTCTGGAAAATAATTTTATTTCAGTATATTTCGATGTAAATCAAAAAATGTGGAAAATTTAAAAAGTTAAATCAATGAAATGAATGGATAATATTTCATGAAGTAATGTATAAAAGAATTTTTCGTTTAATTGAAAGGATCATTGTTCACAGCTTTCAGTGTCTTAATGAAGCATTACTTCGTATAATATCTTTTTCCTTGTTCTCATGACAAGAAAAATTACTCCCATTTAATACAATTATTGGAGTAAAATCTTGATTAAGTCTATTAGTACCTGTCATTTCAAACTGAAATTATTTTTCTATATTATTGAACTGATTTTAAAAAATAATCTAATAATCATGTTCAATAATCTTGTAACATTTTAAGAGTAAGAAAAATTGATTCAATGTTATTGATTTAATGTTAAACTGAGTAATATGGCTTGCAATTTGTTGATAATGTTGACTTGTTATTTTTCATTAAGATAATTTGTTTCCTTCTCAGGAAGAAGAAAACAATTATTCCTACTTCTTAAGATTATTAATGTAATGGGCTACTCAATAAAAATTTTTATCTATTAATTACACAAGTCGGTAGGAATTTTCTATAATTTCAGAGCACAATGAAATTAAAACATGACATATGTCAGTCAGTGTTGCTCAATTTAACAAAAATTTTCTCTGAATTTTTCTAAAAGACAAAAAAAAGACATGTCTTTCATGTGCAATTACCGCGAATAGATTAATCAATAGTTAACGTAATTATTAATTAAATGTAGTTTATATAAACCCATCCACTCTAGATGTTTATACACTGTTGTACATTTTCAAACAAATTATATGTTAAGTTTGGACAATAATGAAGTTTGCGGAAATAAAAGCTGCGATAAATAATTAAAAAAGTTTTCTAAAGTTCTGAAATCTTCATAAAATTTAAGTGAAATAATTATCAATTAGAAGCAATAATTTTATCCCATTAATTTTTCACTGTTATGTTTGTTCGCGCATATGAAAGAAAAACTTTCAGCGAAAGTTTAAGAGTCTCCTAAAATTTTCTGTGTTGAAATTAACGATTATACTAAAAACTTATTAAATCTTTCTGGTAATATACTTTTGAAAAAGGATTATTAAATTTATTCTTTTTTTGAAAAACATCTTTTTTCCTTTTCAAACACGATATCATAATTTAAAGAAAAAAATAATCTCAAATATTGATAAAAGTATTTCAACAAATTTTTATCGTTTGTTTAAAGTATTATATAAATAGCGATTCAAAACGTTTTATGTATTTGATAAATAAAAATGCAAATTTATGATAAGTATTTCAAATTTTCTTCACTAATATACGAGTTAAAAAGAGTAATGAATTATTTTTAACCATTCTAGAACAATTGTCTGAAATGTCATAAAAAATAAATAAACTACTTTTTAAATTCATTATCTGAATAAAAATTATCCAGGTCGACATAATATTTTTTCTCTTAGATATATGGTCTAGCTTTTATATACTTCGCATGTGTTGTGTTATTAAGCTTAATTTTGAAAGGTGGAGATCAAGCTACGTTCAAATTACAACGTTTTTCTCGCGATAATTATCAGGAATAAAAAAAACCTAACATGTATACAAAATTTTACTTTTTCTAAGTATAATAAAATAAAATCATTTGTATTAGAAATGCTGTCATCAATTCTATTTATAAATTTGTAATTTCTGGCGAAATTCTCCTGATGTATTTAAAGCAAAGGTGAATAATTAAGATAAAGATCGTCCTCGAAGATCCTTTAGTAGATCGAAGAAAATTGTCGTGACAGAAATTCAATGATCCAAGATTGTCGTTAACATCATAAATGTTTGGATATTTCCCGCATCGTTTATTCCAACGTTGATCTCTTGCTTATCCAAAGCAATAATATTCAGAAACCTATGGACTCTTGTACCATGACACACGTATATGCTTTTATGTTACGAAGAAAATACGAGGAACGCGGGCTTTATTCCGTTTTGACTGTAGGTCACGCGATTGTTTGGTATGCACTACACGACGAATGAGGATTATTACTATTACATCCTAAAATCGTATGGGAAAATTTTCAGAATTTGTGTGTGATTTATGTCCCTGAACTTGGAGATTTTCAAGTCTTTGACTTCTGATGAATATTATCTGACTATTCGTACTATTCTGAAATAAAACTATTCGACAAATTACTGTAATTGTTATTTCAAAGTTTGATTAGGAAAAAGTGAAATAAAATTAAATGATTGATGAGATTGTGATCTAGATTATGAACTACTGAGTCTTGATTTTTTTCATAGAAATAGTTAAAAATCTAAACTAAAATATTTTTTATTACACTATTTCGTAAGTCTGTAGAAAAGTTAGATATAATATGTTGAATTGTAATCTTTCATTTTAAATTAAATTATTGAAAAATAAAAAAATTATTTCTTACCATCAGGTATAAATATATTTAGGTAAAGGCAGTCTTCATCTACTCCAGGATCTTCCATATTTCTTGGAAGAAGATTTCTGTATAGTTTCTCATGATACTTTATCATTCCAACGGCTTGTAAACAAGAAGGAGCAAATTTGGTAGCATTTTTCTGGTCCTCCCATGACTCTAAGGGATCTGTTACTGGTGGAGCAAATCGTCTTGGTCCTACTGGAGGAAGAGCATAAGGAATTCCAAGATATGCTGTTACTTTTTGCGGTCTTGCGAAAAGAATCTATGGGAAAAAATCAATTGATATAATGATATCATGAAGTATGAGCAAGATATCATGAAGAAAAAAAAGATTTGTATAAAATTACAAATAGTATTAGAAAAATAATCAAGAACAAAATAGAGATAAAATAAAAAAATTCTCACTTCTTTTCCAATAATTGTTCCTTGTCCAGGAATCGTAACAGTTGGTGACATCCTAGTGACTCCTTGTCGAGCATTTGTTCTTTGTGAACTAGTTATAGCAATACTTGAAAGAAACAGAAATTCTTGGAGGCACACTATGATGACTATAGTGGGGAAATTCATTTTGTAGACTGACTGATTGGACGCGGATGTAATACTGGGTTCCCCAAACCTTTTGTAAGCTTTGCGTGACTTCCACGACGCCCAAGACCTCCTCCACCTGGAGAAGGTTCAGCAGAGACTTGCGCCCTAGACTCTAGTTTCACGGTTTGTTTTTTTTTTTTTATGACTAGGGAACATATAGTATGAATCATAAGTGTTTGTTGACATAATATATAAAGGTACACGTTATATATTATTCAAATATAAAACTATTTAGCTATCAACAGCAGTTGTTGCGTGAGAAATCGGTTGAAATAATTACTTTTATGTAAAAAATTCTTTTAAACTGTTTAGTTTATTGAAGCAAAGTTGATTCAGAAAAATATAAATTTAAATAAACGAGTTAGAAATTTGAATAAAATTTAAATTGTAAAAATTGATGCATTTATTTTCAAAGAATAGCTAATCTAAAAATGTTGCTCTTTCACAATGTGAATTTATTTGAGGAAAATGAGCACAAAGCAATATAATTATCTCAAGCGATAGCAGCAATACCGATGATTACTTGTTAAACTATTTCAACCCTTAATAAGCTGATATGAAATAATTACGTGCATTAGAATAAATTGTCTTTCACACACGAATATCTTAATATACCAACATTAATAATATAAAATGATTCTTTAGGATTACTAGGTCACTAAGAAATTTTTTTCTAGGCTGAATCAATCATCATTTTGAACGAAAAAAAATGTCTTTACTTAGAACAAAAAATATAACTATTGAATGTGAGAAAAAAGCTCTTACATATGATTGATAAGTGATAATATCTTCACGCTTGTCCTCGATCATTCTTTCAAGTAGAATGACCTTGAATATATATGATCGTTATGAAATTCTAAAACATGCATAAAAGTCATTTTATAAATTTTACGGCATAATTGCTTGAAAATTTAGAGCTACAACGTATATTTACTAAGATATCAGTTTTTAAATGGTTATATCTGCAATTTGTGCTTTTATTTCCCATTTTTAGGAAGAATTTTGCTTTCATTCGTATAATAAAAAATAAACTTTTCTTTCCATTCTTTGAACTACTTGAGTGTTTTTTATAACACAATTTGTTGATAATATGAGAAAAATCATAAAAGTTGATTGTCCAACGATTATTAAATACTGAAACTTTTTATCAATATCATTGGATTATCATCAATCTTGTTTTTATATCAAAATTTTAAATCGATTTCATTATGTCTCCATTCTGAAATAATAAAAAAAAGTTTAAATGTAAATATTAATTAAAATAAATTGCAATTGTAAATAAAAAATTAATACGTTTTATCAGTGTAACAGCGAAAGACAATGTTTTAACACTACAAACAATTGATTTTTAAGGGTTGAAGTGATAAATCCATTAAGTCATTCTTTATGATGATTGAAGCAAAGATAGGTGTTAGAGGTCACAGGTTTTACCTGTCGTTAAGATCATTATTGTTGAGCTACTCGTTTGACGTAGCTTGACATGATTAAATCATAATGTCTGTGATTTTTATCTTTGATTTACTGTTATTAAATTAAGAACAGTGAATTTTACAAGCTCTGGGTAGACTGAATTACAAAAACAAACAAAATAGGTCAAATACCTTTAACCTAACAATAATTTAATCCTTTGTAGGTCATGAGTTCATTACGTGATATTATCAAGATTTTTTAAGTTACATAATTAATATGAATAAGTAAATAACACGTTTCCTTAAACCTGAAAAGTTCTAATGAATTATCGTTGTTTATTATTTTTTCGAGTTAAAAGTAATACTTAATATCTTAATTAACCTCTTTTTTTATTCACTGAAAATATTTTAAATAAAAAAAAAACGACGATTTTTACGGTCGTTTAAAACTTACAATTAATTATTTGTGGCCAACAATTAAAAGTTTTTTTGATTTAATAAAAAAGTTTGTTATTCATGATATTTAGCACTTTTTATAAATTCATTGCTAATTTATATTTGATGAAGTATAAGAATTTTCATTTGTTGATTTCCAATCTTGAAAAGTTTCATATTTCTAACATTTCGCGCCATAGGGAGCGTTATCCTCTGAGGTTTCAACTATACACCAGTAGGGGGCTACTAAATTTTTTTTATTATGTAGTAAAATTATTTTTATAACAAAATATTCTAGTTAATTTACGTACTTAAAACAATTTTCTGTACAAATAAAAGCTTTTTTGAAAGATTAATACCTCATAAGTACTCGTGAATTATAAATTTAAGTCAGTAAATGAGTTAAGCATGAGTAAAAAATTGCTTTCCAAGTGTTACGTGGATTTATTATGAACAAACTACTGTCAGATTATAAACAACCGCACCCAGGAGTCATGCAGTTGTCGCGTGGCATTTTTAATAATGTATTTTCAAAACATGTGATAACGAATGTCTTTTAAGTATTCAAAAAAATTAAATGATGATATGATAGGTTCGATCAGTATTTTTGTCGACTGAGCATTATGTTAACCTCTTCTTCATAACATTAGCTCATACATTGACTCACCAAGTCACATTTGCATTGCTCACCTGTAAAGAATGTCTTGAAGTTTTTATTGTCTTTAGAATTTTTTATTAAAGTGACTTAAACTAACAATTTGTTACAATATTAAAGTATAAACAGTCCAATCATGAATACTATCTGGCTACTATTTACTATTGGTTTTGTATCAGCAAAGGATTCGTATAAAGGATGTTATAAAAATTCTGAAGAATCTGAATCCCCTTTGCTCGCTTTAAATTATCCTAGTAAACCAAGTGAATGTACCAAAGAGTGCAAGAATCGATATTACATGTAAGTTAAATTAATAAAATTTATTAATATCCATTCACATTATTTTAAATCTAAAAATAATATTTTTTAATAATTTAGGTATGCAGGTCTTATGAAAGGTCAATTATGTTATTGTATGAGCAGATATGGAAGTGGAAGCCCTTCCAATGGGTGTTCAAACACATGTATAGGTGATAAAAGTTCATTTTGCGGCTCTGAAGATTCAGTTAGTGTCTACGAAACTGGTCAAAAAGGTTCAAGCCCACCAAAAAGGCTCAATGTAGTACAGAGGCAGACTACATCGTTATATATTACTTGGGAACGCCCAGATATTACTAATGGCGTTATTACCTCATATACAGTTCGCGCTGTACCTGGACAAACATATGCTTCATACCCATTACAACCAACTCAAGTACAAATACAAGGAGAATCTTCCGATAATACTATTATAACTAATCTACATCCTGGAACTCAATATAATATTTCTATTACTGCTATGAATGCTAAAGAAGAAAGCGAACCAACTTATACTGTTGACTGGACACTTATTGGACCACCAAATAATCCTGAGGTACCAAAAATAATTTCTAGAGAAGGTACCAAGATGGTAATAGAAATTTCTGAAGGTAGTAGTCAGAACGGACCATTAACTGTTTATCAAATTATCGTTGTTTATCCAGGAATTGTCCCTCCAACTGATCATAATATCGCTTATCCTAACTATGATAAAGCGATCAGGGATGGTTTCCTTTATTATATCACTGGAGAATTTGAGGCTTCAGAGTTTATGAATCATAAACAATTTGTTGTTGGAGACGGACAAAAAGTTGGTGGTTATTATAATGCTCCTTTAGAAAAACCTTTTGATAGACCTCAGATTGGTATAGCACTTGTTTCAAAAGTAAGAAATGAAATTCAGTACAGTTACTCTGATCTTACAGGTCATGCTTTCATGTTTAATCGATTAAGGGATAGACAAGGTCTCGATGGAACTGCTATTGGACTCTGCGTAGCAATAGTTTTATTGGGAACTTTGTTGATCGTTTCAGTCGTTTCTTACTTTGTTATAAAACGTAGACACGAGCAAATTCGAATGAATAAACTTCCAGAGCAACAAGAATTAACACTTCAGGGTCCAATGTATGAAGTTGATAACATGGGTTACATCCCTGAAGAAGTTCCAGAGCGACCAAATCATTATCAAGATTTGAAATCTAAAGTCTGGAGTATTCCAAAGAATTTTCTTATAGTAGATTCTACTCTCATACGCCGTGGAAGGTTTGGAACAATTCATAGTGGCACTGTACAACATCCACATGGAGAATCCTCTAAAGTTATTGTTCACTCGATATCAGATGGTTCTTTGAGACCATCAGAAAAGAGACACATGCTGAGAGACCTCGATGCTTGTATTAAAGCAGGAACTATGAAGTATTTAGCGAGTTTAGTAGGTAATTGTGAAACTCCTGATACTCTTTATGTTGTCTTAGAGATGCCAGCACAAAACTTGAAGACTAGATTATTAGCTGCCAGATCAGGAAATGCTTTTCCTACAGAGAAATTATTACCTATTGGTGCTTCTATTGCAAGTGGACTTGATTATCTTGATGCTCATAAAATATATCATTCTCATCTTTGTGCGCGTAGTATTGGATTGACTGATGATTTCGAGCCGAAAATAATGGGTTATGGTATAGGAAAACATTCACTGGAAGACTTAAAATTAGCTCGTTGGACTGCTCCTGAACGGTTTGGCCATAAAAAGCACAACCCAGCGGTTGTGTGGGCTTATGGTGTTGTCATTTGGGAGATGATGAGCATGGGTGGTACTCCGTATAGTGAGCTTGAAGATGAATGTGATGTCGAAGAAGCTGTTGTTGAAAAATTTGTGAGACTAAAACAACTACCGGATATGCCAGATCCTCTTTACGAAGTGCTTTTATCATGCTGGCATGTAAATACAGATGAACGACCGACATTTGATGAACTTAGTCGATTGGTGAGTAATTTTTTTCATTTCATTTAGAAATAAAAAACTTACGGAATTATTTTTATATTTACCTTGGATTTATTTCTGTTCATAGAGCACTCTGGGCATCTGCCCCATCACAGTCATCACGGAACCATACCGGCCTGAGTTAGAATTGAATTAAAACTTGTTTTCGAATAAAGATCGGCATTCCAAGAAAATAGAAAAAAAAAACAGAATTTTAACATTTATATCATATTTCTAGAGTTCGTTTTATATTCAACGATACGCTAACTATAGTTACCGTACTCAACTACTGACGAAATTAGTCTAATTTTTAAAATTTTTTACTATTATTATAGTAGACATTTTTTTTATGTATTATTACGGTATTATATAGATTTATTTTACAGTTACTTAAATTACATTTTAAGCTCAATATTGTTTCCGTCCAGAATTTACTTAATTATTATTTTAATTATAAATTTTATTAAAAATTTTTTATTTTTTATTTCTGATAGTTTATAGGAATGTAATGAAAAAAAAGTACAGTAATTAATGTACTGTAATACTGCTTTATTATTTTACACTTCTACATACCACGAATATTTCATGATCTTATGCATCTCCCTTTTTTTGTTATTACTCGTCACAGAATCATCATTTGAATATTTCCATAAACTTATATACTCATCAAAGTACAAAAATTAAGAGTTCACATATCTATTTAAAAAAATAAATTTTTATTCATCATTTATATATTATTTATGGCTGATTGTTGCAATAATTTTTCGCAATGCGTAAATAATTAATCGTACTATATAAACTAATTAATTATACATTTTTTAAAAAGATAGTATTTAAAATACTCATAGCGTAATCGTAAAAAATAACAAGAGCAGATAAATAAACACATTTATCTTCGAATGTTTCAAATGTTGGAATTAAATTAACGTACTGAATGTTTTGTAACAACTTAATAGACGTTAACTAAAGGATTAGCAATCATTTAAAAAATATAATAGAAATTATTACAAAACACAATTAAGTCAAAAGATAATTCAAAGAAGTTGTTCCTGGTTAATAACCAGATATGCACAATATTTTTTAAATAAATTGCATACTTTTATACATATAACTCATGTTGTTTCATTAATCATCTTTTTTTTAAGTTATTTCATTCTTGATAAGAATGATTTTAATTTACTATAATTTTTAGTATTATCTCTATCATTTCGATCAACTTAAAATATTGAGAGAAAGTGAATTCATGTGATTTGCGGTGATGAAACTTTGCTTGAATGCGAACACGTGGGTTTTACACCAGGAACGTTGCTTTTACTGCTTGTTATCGGGCACAATACCTGTCTGTAAGCTTCTCTATAGAGCTTGTTAGTGCCAGCATAAATGAACGGATTAATAACTGAAGATGCCCACGCTAAAATAGATGCAACCACATGTAGAATTGGTACATTAACCTTGTCATCAATCACGTTCACTAACATAAGGGGTAAAAAGCAGAGCAAAAAACATAAAAATATGGTAAGCATAAGTTTCGTGACCCTGGAATCTTCCCGGCGTTGAAAGCCGATATTTTTTCGCATGCCCATGTGTGCTTCCAGATTCTTACGACTCTTACGAACTTTCCAGTAGATACAGAGGTAAGAGACAATTATTACAACGCAAGGAATAATGAAGCCAATCACAAATAACATTTTTTTAGGACTTTTACCATCTTTAGGCAAAATTGTACATGAGAATGTTTTAGCTTCCAGTCCAAGTGTTCCCCATATTCCTGTGAGGGGAGGAAGTAGTAGTGAGAAACTAAATACCCAAATCACGACGAGCATTATTACTATTCCTCGGGTTGTATAAAGTCTTGCATAAATATCTGATTGAGATATGAGGACATACCTGAAAAAATATTTAAATAATTTTTACTAATTATGACTATATTTATATTGAATGGTTTTCATTAAAAAATTTACAATAGTAGCTGAAAAGTGTTATAATTAGCATTCAATACAGATTTTTTAAAAAAGTTAAGAATTAATGAATAATGGCAATGAAATTTGCAATAAAGTGTCATCAATGTCACAATACATTTATTTATAATTGAATTAAAGCTTAAGCTTTAATTATTAAAACTTTAAAGGCAATAACCTTCTAGATGTCAGAAGATTTTTAACTATGTCATCATATTAAGCAAAAATTTTTTCTTTACTGCTTCTAATTAGATTTAATATAGTTAGCGTTTATGATATTTAACGAATTTTTTTCTGGAACTATTATTATATTAATTATCTTCATATGTTCCTCACATAAATGGATTGACCCCTTGCTATAAAAAGAGTTATAGAGAGGAAAGACTAGGATGACTCATGGAATATGTGCAAGTAGAGCATCTTGAAATGAGTTTTATTAACGATTCAAGCGGAAAAATCAACTTAATGACTAATTAATTATACTTGTGTTTAATCGATAAATAAATATAATAATTTGTTTTTAAACTAATTACAAACCTGTTGATGGTTATGGCGACCATACTGAGAAGGGATACAGCAACATTACCGTAGAAAAAAAATGGAAATACTTGACAGAGTGTTTCTCCTAGAACCCATGCTTCATTTAGATATCTGCTAGCTGTGAGTGGCAGGTTCACAGCTGAGAAAATCAAGTCTGAGACACTAAGACTTATAACAAATGCTGTAGTTGCGTGTCTTCGTAGTCTAGTGTATTTCAATAATGCAATTACTGTCACTGCATTGCCTGAAATTAATAAAATTAATTATTTTTTTAAAGAATAATAAAAAATAAAGAAAAACATTTTATTTTTTTTAAAAATGAAGAATGACAATATTTCATACACAGATAATAAATTGAAGACATCATGAATCTAATTTTATTTAAAATTAATTTATCTTAATTATAATTAATAATACTATAGTAGAAAAACACCATTTTTGAATTTAATTTTTTTCATTTAGAAGAACTTGCTTAAACCCGTCTCATATTTCTACTTTATTATCATGCAAGCATGAAATGGTCATGAATTGGTGATTAGAGCATTTTTTTGGTTTTTTTTTAGAAATATTTCATTTATTCATTTAAATTAACAGCATTCGGCTGGTAAAGTGTCAAAAAGAGTATACGTGACTGTGGAATTTTAACTTGATATCAAGATATATAACTGGAAGTTCATGAAGATCAAGTTTCACACTCGTAGTTCACCACTTGATATAATTAGATGTTTTATTTTTTCTTTTATTTTATATTTTATTTCGTTGTTGAAATATATTTCATGCACAAACATTTATCCCAAACATAAAGTGATCATTATTATTCAAAATTCATTGTTTATATCAATTTTTATTCATCTGTACCGATTGACTATTAGTTGATAATCATTATTTTGTAATATGCAGATTAAAACTTTACATTCAGCACAACATCAGGAGAGATCAAATACAAAACTTAATACAAAAAGTTTGTGCCAAGTGTAAACATTGATAAGAGATGGTTTTAATGAATTGATAATAAGTTGTATGAATTGCAATATAATAAATTAATATGATTCAGTATTATTATGAATTTCATTATCATTATTAATATTAATTACTATAAAATAAAATGCTAGCGATTGAAGATGATTACATTTGAATACAATTTGCTATCTCTCATATGTAATTGTTATTTATAGTATTCAATCTCTGAAAACAGCTTTTTATTTTAAAAAAATGTGCTATTGATTGCAAATATTTCTATATAACATCAATAATTTGCTTCAATGACTATTTCGATGTAAAATTCATATTGATAAGAGATATCATGGTATCAAATAACAAACTGATGATGAAATAATTTAATAAAATAATTGTCATTGTAATTATTTATGAATTCAAGATTTATTATTGAATGATAGAAAATAATTGATGAATTAATTGATTATGATGCTAGAACTTACCAAGGATACCAACGACACTAAAGAGAATTGCACATACTGCTGCGATAATTGTTACAGGTCTTGGATAAGGATGCTCAGATGCATTCATTTTTGAAAATTTATTTAGAATTTTTTGTTTTCACTGGTTAAAGTTCAATACACTTGACTAGTAATTTTTTAAGTTCAGTTTCTTAACATTCTGTGCAATCAAAAGATCACTCTTGAGATATTGACAGTTACGTTTGAGCACGTGTCTATGGTGATTGATGAGTCACTGCAGGATAGGCAAATGTACACTCATAAGTTTACAATTTTTCTTGCTATTTATCAACTTTACTCAGCCTTTTTTACATTGCAAGGCAAAATGTAAGGAATAAATTATTCATCGAATTATGCCATTTCAACAGAAGTGAGTTTTTTAATTGTAACTTTTAGTTTCTTTTGTGACCATAATAAGTATAAAGCAAAATACTTAAAAATATACTATCGATGAGATATTTATGAGCTTGAATTCTCATTCGTACGTGCTTTTAAACTCAATCAAAGTCTTTGAAAATAGTTTTATTGACGCAAGCTGAATTTTCAATTTTGCACTCACAAACAATTGTTGTTGATGTTTATTCCATTTAGGATGAGGATAATAATAGTAATTAAATGGCTAACAACCAGATAGAGTTCAGTTCCGAAACTGGTTGCTCTTCAGGGACTGACAAACTTGCCCCATGCACTCATCAACTATCCCCGTCTGGTGTTCCCTTTTGCGATATGTGCGCGCACTAGAGAGTCAGAGAATTTCTTATCTCTTTTCCAACACTCGAATTAGCTTACGCTTTTCCTTCCTTCTCTTGGCGTCTCCTTTCAAATGTTCGTAATATTTACAAGTTCTTACCGCATCCATCAGCCACTATGTCCTGGAGAACGAAATGGAATATCATCAGTAACCACTTCCGCTTGATAGAACACGTATTTTTTCCAAGTATAAGTGTAAATTTCACAATTTATAAAATTATGATAAGAAAAAATTTTCTCCTCGTTTTTAATTTGATTGAAACTGTGATAAACTATTTGCACAAATGTTAGTCTATTAATGAATTACTTAACGATTGGAATACTTTTAAAATAATCGAATTTAACAATTAGCAGCATTAGTTGAATGTCAATGATAATTTATCATTTGATTATTAATAAATATACTAATTGAAAAATAATGTTTTGATGTTCAAGAATCATAGCTAAAATTAATGATTCCTAAATCACTTAATCCATGATGATTATCAATGAATCAATGAATTGTTATTAATGGAGGTATACAAATAATAAAAAAAAAATATTCACCAATTAAAAATGATGAACGTACACGAACGCCCAAACACGTCTGATCTTGTTCCGAGTTAAAACGCGAGTGTGTCTAGCGTTCATCGTCATCATAACAATATTTGTATATCTAGGCGTAAAGGTAACGTCATGGGATTGGCTAAGGCGTGTAGTAGTACACCCAGTACAGCTCAAACAAGCAGAATCCAGCTGCAACCCTCCCATTTTCTTGTAAAAAAAATTCTAAAAGACCAAACGAAACCAACAATTGTTATAACGATCGTCACAATGCTTGATTATCCACGTTTTCCGTTGAGTGAGTCCCTAACAAGTTCGCCTACAGCTTTCATCAATGAATGCAAATCTGACCTATTATAAATCTATTTAGCATTTTACACCCTTGTGGTTTTAATTCGTACTCTTTTATGCTTATATGACATTCCTAGACTTACGAAAGTGTTTAATATGGAGCATTCAAAGACTGATGTACTGGTAAAGTCGTTATAGCATTTGCGTGAGAACAAGTTTTACTTTATTAGTCATGTTTACAGCGTGGGACAAAGCACTTTAAAATTAAGGCAGAAGCTTCTAATGCTTTATTTACTTTTACTTAGTGATCTCTGTTTATAAATTCTATCTATAGTCTTGACAATTGAATACATAATAGATTTCTTTTGAAAATCTTTTGTAGCTAAAAGTATTTCTTTTATGATCATTTGAATAATTTTTTATTTGTCATTTTTTCTTAGATACTGATAAGACTAAGTTATGAATTAAATATTAATTCCTTATTAAAAACATTTCACATAGCTCATAAATTATCTCGCCCATATGCTGATAAATAAAAACAACTAATTATTGCTTGCATATTTATTACTATTTACCGTCACGGATATGATTGATTATTAAAGAAAGTCATTTTTTACTGCTTTAATATTTAATGTATTACTTCTACATTTTTATAGTTTCCTTTTTCATTTATCGTATGAGTATAAACAATGATTAAATGAATTCATTCTCATTTTTTAATCAGTTATTGATTGAATTTGTAGAAAAAAAAAATCTTTATGGAAATATTCATTAATAAAGTATTTGTTGTGAACTTCTACTTATATAGAATTAGATAAAAAGTTGGTCACTAATATTGGAGTTAGGTAAAAAGTTAAAAATGCTTGATAATTGTCATCAAAATATTCAAGATTAAAATTAAGTAGCCATAGAATGTAACAATTGATCCAGTTATTATTATGATGATTATCATGTTTTTTTTTAATATGAAACAGTTGTACTGATGGTTAGAGATGTGTTGAATAAAATACTTAACATAAATTATGACACAAAAATTATATACATGTATGACATAGTCAACAGGAATAAATTTCCATCAACTTTTGGTCATTTATTGTTTGTTCCTGGGTCTTGCAAGATGTTTGAGAACCATTGGGAACGTTGAATGAACTCATTGTGCGTACCCTTCGCTACTTTATTTGAATTCAACAGAGCTCGTCATTCATGAGTCGACCGCCTGCCCCTCTGACTTCTGGCTACAGGGATAAAGTCATTGGAAGTAGGCACAGCAGGAGCATCGTGATTATAAAACAATTTTTCATGGAGAAAAAAGGAAATAACTTATGAGAAAATTTAAATACCATGGATAAAACTTTCTATTTTAATTTTCACTGTTTAGAAATAATTTGCACTAGGAAACATATGTTCCAGGTGTTTTATGTGGTATTGAATATCAGCCAGGTACAAAACACATTATACTTCGCTTTATTCATTCATTCATTCCATTTCTAATTTCATCTAATTCTTTTGAAGTCAACCGCTAATTTTTTATTATACTATGAGAAATAAGAGCTTCCTTTGTCTTTAATAAAGTAATTGCTCCAAAAATTTGAATAAAAAATTTAGGGTAGATTATTTTGATAAGAAGATGTCTTAATCATTTGGAATAAGTGCCGAAAAAGTTGATATCAAACATTTTTATTGAATTTGTTTTCCAGTATATAAATCATATTAAAATATCAATACATAAATTTGGTTTTAACCATAATTAATTGCAATTTTAATGTAATTATAATTATTTGAAAAAATTTATATTAAAAAAATATTAAGTAAACGTTCCTTACATTTCTTAATTAATTAAGTAAAGAAACATCCTGCCCAACTAATTGGCATAAAAGAAGTAAACTACGTTCTCTCTCTCTCTCTATTTAGATAATAAAAAAGATTATTTGTTTGTAAAATAAAACTCGATTAGAACTATAATGTGTGTGTATTTACAGACGCTAACTGCGTTAAATGCTTGGATTGATGAACCACTGTTATCAATTGACGAGTGATATGACACTGAGTTTATGGCACATGCACGAATGATAATCCCTCAAGTGTCTACATATTTAATATTGCTTTTAAATAAATTTTTAAGTGGAGCATTGTCGGTAGGTTTGTGCTTTTTGTTCAATTTCTGCCAATTGTCGCTCCATTTCTACCGTCAAGGAATCAACTTCAGTCATTAAGTCTCCAAGAAGCCTGTCATTGTCTCTATAAACGCTCTCCATTCCATCTAAATCCTTAAACTTGGTCGTTGTGTCGGCAGTAAGTTCAGAAGCTCTTTGCAAAAGCCTCTTTGCTCTTTGGATGTCGCCTTTACTTTTAGTTACTCGATAAGTTAGAGAATCACCCGCTTTTTTGTACTCAATTCCAAGTTTGTCTGTTTTCTCTCGAACGTCTTTGGCGTCATTAGCCAGAGTACGGAGCTCTTTTCGAATTTCTTGATTTAAAACAAAATCATTACGCACTGATTGAGTTTGAAGTTGTTTTAAACGTGCTTCTAATGCTTCTACTGCTGCTGTAGTGTTGCCTGCTCTTTTTCTTGCGTCTTTTGTTATTCCTGAAACAACTTCAAGATCTTTTTGTGAACCTGCTATGTCTACTTCTGCTTTTTCTATTGCAGATTGTGCTATAACTTGTGCTTGTTGGGTATCAGTCAATAAGCTCACCACCTAAAACATAAATTAATTGATTAATTAATAATTAATACATTTTAAAAGTTCTTTATTTTGTGTTAGTAATAAAAATAGTTTTATTTACGATGCAAATACCTTTTCGGCTTGAGTTTGTTTACGAACAGCAGCTTCTTTAATGGCCTGTGCCCTTTCTGCAAGTTGTTCAGCCATTCGTAAATCTGCAGCAGTATCCTGTAATATTCTGTCAGAATCAGTTAAGGATCCAACAATGTTATCGATCTTATCTGCTAAGCTTTCTATTTCATCAGGTCTCAGATGAATATTTTTTTCAAAAACTTCCTCAGCTAAATCTCTGACCATTGTTGGTGTTGGTTGTTCATCGTTCAAAACCATCCAAATTTTTTCATTGATATCAGTCAAAGATTTAACTATTCGATCTGATTTATTCCTTGCATCTAGAGCAAAATTAAAAGCATCTTGAGCATTGGATCTTGCTGTAACTGCATCTTGTTTAACGTTTAGCATCTACGAAAAAAATTTTTTATTTTAAAAATTAATAAAAATAAATTTTAATTAAAAATCGAGTTTTACCTTGCGTACTAATTGCTCAGTTGCATCTTTATGGCTTTTTATTTTTTCTGCTTGTTTGGTGGCAACATCCAATGCTTGATTCGCTTTAGTTATGGCTCCAGCATCACAGGAAATTCCACCACAATTTCCGCAACCAGCTCCACCACAGATATTACTACATTCCGTGACATTATCACCACACATATCAAGATTTAATCGTGGAATGTCTGTTTCTAATTTATTAAGTTTATCATTAAGTTTCGCAATAGAGCTTTGACTGCGTTCTTGTGCTTCAATGACTGTTCCACTATTTTTTGCTAATAAACTTTCAGTATTTTTTCTGTATCTTTCAGCATCTGCCAATACACTTGTTGTTTCATTAGCCATTTTTTCTGCTTGACGTGACTGATCTGCCATGAGATGAGTTACATTTAGAGCACCTTGAACATTAGCTTCTTGAAGCCTCATGGCATCCTCTTTGAGCAGTGCTGCTCCATGATGGAGATTATTTGTTCGATTCTTCAATTTTTTCAGAGCTACATCACCTAAATTTACTCGTTGTCCGACATTTTCCAATTGATTTTCAATTTCTTCTAAAGTCTTTGTTGATAAAGAAATATTTTTAGACAACTCCAATGTCAACTTTTCAAGTACATCAAGGTCTTGAGTTTTTACTGTAGTTTTATCAATTAAATTGCGGACTTGATCAAGTGACTCTAACATTGCATCAAATTGTTGACTGTAAACACCAGTTGTACCTACTTTTTGAATCCTTGAAGCTTCTTGAATAACTGAATATGTTGTATTCTTCAGACCACTGAGAATTAGATCCCAATTATCGAAACATTCTCCACAAGGTCTACAATCTGGTGCAGTACCAATGTAACTACGGTCACATTGATCACATTTCTCTCCACCAATTCCTTTATGACAAATACAATAACCTGTGTCTCTATCGCATTGGGAGCTAGATGAGCCAATAACATCACAATCACAAGGATAGCATTGGACATTTGGATTTCCCCAGAAGTTTGTTTGACATTCATTACATCTACGACCTCCAAATCCTGGTTTACATTCACATGTTCCATCATATGGGTTACAACTAAGTAAAGTATTATTTATATATTTATCAGTTATTCAATAGACATTATGATATTTTAAAATACTGAAAAAAATGATTAACAAACCTGTCAGAGATACTTCCAACAGCATCACATTCACAAGGATCACATCCTTGTCCACTTGCTATACGCCAATGGTTTTCTTCACAAGCATCGCAAAGTTTACCGACAACATGAGGCAAGCAAGGACATTGACCAGTTCTATGATCACATGGTCCAGCAGTTGGATCAGTACCCAGTACATTACACTGACAATCTTGACAATTTTTCTCTAGAGCATTACCATAATATCCGGGTTTACAATACTGACAATTGGGTCCATCTGTATCATAGAGACATTGAAGACAACGTCCAGTTTGTGGATCACAATTTCCTGGACGAGCTAAGTCAGTATTATTGCTGCAATCACAAGCTTGACATTTGCCATTTGGATCTTCAGGATTTCCATAATAATTTTCAGCACAATTTTCACATCTCGCTCCTATATATCCTTCAAAGCATTCACAGATTACATCATGAGTTACTGGATCAAGAGAACAACTTTCGGCATAAGAGTGACCAGAATCAATTGTTCCTAAAAAAAAAAAAAAATATAAGAATGGTACAATAAATTTTTTTTAATCATTTAAATATTTTATAAGCATTATTATGTAAAAATTTAATAGAAATTTATGAATTACCTGGACAGGGACACGCTCTGCAAGGAATATCAACTCCGATTCTTGGATCACCGTAGAAAGTATCAATACATCTATCACAAGTATGACCAGTAGTGTAATCTCGACAGTTGATACAAGCTCCAGTTCGTGAATCACAACTATCAGCATGCCCATTACACTCGCATCGTTGGCAGTGCGGGAAATTCCAAAAGCCTGGATCACATTGACCACAAGTTTTTCCGTAGGTATTGGGTCGACATTTACATCTACCAGTATTAACATCGCACAAATTATCTAAAGCTCCAACAGCATCACAATCACAAGGAGTACATCCATTAGGTCCAAAACCATAGGTACCAGCAGCACACCGATCGCAACGTCTTCCTTCAACGTTAGTTTTGCAAGGACAAACACCACCATAATTCTGGCAAAGTAAACTATGTGATCCAGTTGGATTACATTCACATGCTAGAGAGGAAAAAAAAATAAAAATAAATTGTTGATCCAAAACACTGCAGTTTATAATTAAAAATAATTCTTTTATTTAACAGAAAAATTAATGAATTTAAATATTAAAAAAATTACCATGAGCTCCATCAAAAACCCATAAACCAATACTATTATGATATTTAGCACAGATATCATTCTCATCACGAGTATATGGTGTAACGCTGTTAAACATATCACTACAACGATATCTTTCATATTCTTGACGCCTTAATTCTCCTGGTCCTGAGCCGCTGAAGAAAGGAATTGATTCAATTCTAGGTCTTAAAACAATCTGAAAATAGTAAATAACAATCGCTGAAATTTTTTAAATCATTTATTTTATTTTATTTTCAAAATCTAATCTTACCGAGTCAATCAAAATAGCAGCACTTGGAACTGGATCGCCTTTAGGATCAAATTTTCTAAAAGTCAACAAAACTTTATAAACTTTTCCGGCTTCCAAACAGACAGCAGGTGTCATTACAGCACTGCGAGAATTATCCGGCAATTGAACCCATAAATGATCATCATCTATTCTCCAATCAGCACAAGGACCATCAGGATCTACAGGACCGTCTCTTTCGATGAAGATTTCAACGTGTTCCCACACACCAGGATGTACAGGTTCATATCGTACAATAATATCATACCACATTGATTTCCTGATGTCATTAATTGTAAAATTCATTGTGGAACCTTCTAATGCTTTCATGAATCCTGTTCCTGTCCAAGTATTATTACGTCCATCTCTATAAGGCTCTCGAATGACTACTTGACAATTCTAAAATACGAAATCATTGCATTATTAATCCATTAATAATCATAATTATTCTAATATATTTACAATGATTTTATCAAAAAATACTAACGTCAGAAGCTTTAGCCAATTCTCCTTCATATACTAAAAAGTCCAAGGAACCTGTATAGTAACTTTGTTCCGGTTGATCACAAGTTCTTCCACTAACATGAGGTCGACATCTACATTGACCCGTAACGACATCACAGGTTGATTCATAAGATCCACCAGGATTACAATCACAAGGCTTACATCCATCATGATCATCCGAAAGACCCCAATATTCAGGCAAACATTGATTACAATCACGTGCTGTTACATAACGTTTACAAGTACACTCTCCTGTGAGCTGATTACACCCTTGATTATCAATAGTTCCAAGAAGATTACAAGTACATGCCTGACATCCTTCTGGATTTTCTGGATCAAAGTTCCAAAAGCCATTTTTACATCTATCACATCGCCGACCTTCAACGTTAGCTTTACAGTGACAACGTCCCGATTCTTCTCCAGTTAAAGGATCAGTTCGTGAATCACAAATACCGTCATCAAGTGACCCATTAGGATCACAATCGCACGGCTGACAGGCTTCAGGGTCAGAAATATTTCTATTTACATCGTGGTAAAAAAAAGGTTTACATTGTTCACAGTTTTGACCCCTTGTATTATGCTGACAATCATCACAAACTCCTCCAGATATTCTTCCAGATCTCTCGTAAACAGCTTCATCAAAATGACAAGAAGAAGCGTGATTATTACAATTACAAGGTCTACAAGCGTTGCTCTGCTTTCCTACAGCAGGTTTCCATGGTCCATCATTAAATAGATCTTGACACATTTCACAATTCAGTCCTTTGGTGTTATGAGTACATTCACATCTTCCATGAACCATTTCCTCTTCATTAGCAATACCTGGAAGCTCTAGACAAGCTGAGGCATGACCATAGCATGAACAAGACCCACGAATTACCATGTCTTGGACAGCGTAGTAATATTTTTCTCTGATTTCAGGTCTATCATCCAACAAATCATCTCCCAAAGTATGAAGTTTAGTAAAGTTTATTCGAAGATTTGTCATTTTCATCAAATTTTGAACTTCTTTAGAGTAAGGATTGTCGATAACTGATTGAAGATTAGGTGGAAGAACTCGGAAAATAATTTCTCCTCCTGACGATGGTGATACAGATGAATACCGGGATTCACAGATAACATCAGTAAGTTTTTGAGGTGGATGCGTTGGTACACCTGGAAATGATTGTTCACAATTGTGAGCAAAGTATCTATAAACCTGCCAAGTTTTTCCAAAGTCATGGGATCTTTCAATTAACATTGCCGCTGGTCGGAATGTTTGGAATCTGATGATTAAATGAGTTAAGTGAAACTCAGCTTCCATATCAAATGTTACTACCACATTTTCAATTCCATTTTCTGCTTGCCACCAAGTTCTTCTAGTTTGAGAAGACCTATCAAAAAATTTCATAAATATATATTTTTTTTTTATTTCTATGGAAAAAAATCTATTTTCATTTTATTTGGACTTACCCACCGACGATGTTGGTAATGTTGTGCTGCTGTTTAGGATTTGATGCATCACAGAAGAAGCACTTTTTCTTTTCTTTTAAATGATGTACAATGCAGTATCTTTCTGGACCATGTAATCCACATGTTGATGATGCTGAGAGTCTATCTTTTCTTCCAATCAAGAGATTTCCTGTAGCAGGATAGCAGGAACTTTTCTCACAGGGATGTCGTCTCTTGGCATAAGGTCCTATCCAGAAATAAAGAGTTTATTAATAAACAGTAATCGATATGTTCAACTTCAAAATCAGATGTAAGAGTTTAATTATTTCAACACCACCGCCTTGGTTAAAAAGCTATATAAAATATTTCTGATTATATCATAATGATTATTTTTAAATTTTTTATTTTATTTATTATGTCAACTGGGACATTGGTGGAATTATATACGATTTGACTTCAAATGAACCACAGTAAAAAATATTATTTATTAACAGTGACATTAGTGGGGAAGAATCGTGCATGTCTGATTAAAATTTTAAATACATCTCTTGCCAACCTCAACCAAATATTAATACAATTAATTAAAGGTAATCTCTGTGGGTGAATTAATTATTATCAAGTTTGCTTTTTGTGGGTTCAAAATTTACGAAGCTACCTCCAGGCCTTGAGAAAACATATATGGGCCCATGATATGCAATTCCATCCAATGATGAGATGTCTCCTCGTTGTACTGATCCTATAACACCCCTTTTATTGTATTTTCTATTCACCCTTTTATTAATTCATTATTCGATAAAACTTTCGGTTGTATTTTTTTATTTTTGTTTTATTTCACAATTTTTTATTTCATTTTCTCAAAAGTTTAATGACTTATATACTCTAATTAAATAATTATTATATTTATCAGTGAGAGTGATCTTACCTCTTAAAGGTCTTTCATATTCTTTTGTATATTGACTACTTACAAAACCTGTAAAAAAAAAATTTCATGTAATTATTGCTATCACAAATTTTGAATTGCTATTAATATTTAAAAATAACTCTGAAAAAACGGAAGTTGAATGATTTTTCTCCCTATTAAAGTGTTATCAAGCCGAAAAAAATGACTAAATAATTTATTTTTAATATTTTAATCAATTTCTCTTGAAACATTCCTCTCTTTGAGGCCAGTAAATATAATCACTGTTAAAATTTTATCTAAAGTTTATAACTATTACGTTATTGGATTATTAATTGATGCTCTTCATTTAGTAATGTATCATTACATTTATTTAACTAAAAAGTATTTTATTTATAAAATAAATATTTGTATTTTCTTTCATTAAGTGTGATGACTATATTAGTGAATAAAATGAACTAATCAATCAATCAAGAGTTATAAAAAAATATTGAATAATTTTATTCGACAAAAAAGTTGATAAAACAGTAATTATTTATATTCTAAGTAAAATAATTTTAATAAACTATTCGGTTTTTCGGGTTTGAAAGAAAGCTCTTGTGGTCCAACGGAAGCTAAGAGTCAAGAGGTCGAAGTAATATCTAATCAAAAATGGATAAAGATACATTTGTCGTGAGGGCAACGAATAGAAAGTGGGCTGTTCTTGGTATAACAAATTTTTTTCAACTGTTATCTCATCTAATTTATCATTTAAATAATATAAAAATGATAGTATTTAAAACGGAAGCAAAATTTCAAGCTTACCTAAAATGAACACAGTTATCAACAAAAAAGTTGCTGAACTCAGTCGTATTAAATGCATTTTTATTTTAATGTTGATGCATTTCTCCGAGTGAAATAACTTCTCAATACATCGGCTCCATTTATCTGGATAACAAAATAACAGCACGATAGTGTGCGATCAATCATAAATATACTTTTAAGTCTTATTTTAATACCAAGAGATAGTGAGTCTGAATGGTGAAGTTGTGAATCAAAAGATTGCCCTCAGGGTATGAAGTAACATGCCAAGTTTATCAATGAATACAAAAAATTTTTTATACAATCACAGAAGAGATAAATTTAAATTTTTTATAATTTGTTTAGATGATAAAAAAATAATTTATTATTACAATTCCAATTTTCATAGACAGTTATTGATGCTAATTATGTATAAACCACCATCACATAAGCATAAACACTTTATCAACAATTAAACAAAACAATTTTCACATGGTAATAAATAAAGCAATGATTTTTATACCAGTGTACCAAGTGCTATCTTTACTGAGTGCTGTGATTTTTTTACAACTTCAACATTCTTCTCTCATGTCATCTCTTTCTCTCCTTTATTCTTTCTCGCTTTGGCTCATGTAGGCACTAAAATAAAGGGAATCATATGTAGCACAAAAAAAAACATCACCAACAAAAACACTTTTCATCTAATTCTTGAAGAACTTGACTTTTTTATCATTTTTCGCAGTACTCAGGAAGTTAGTTTATATTGAGAATCACAAGTACCCACCTAGATTAGACGCTCACAGTCCCAGCAATTGATTTCTGATCTAAATATCAACGATTTTTAGATTTTGGAATTTTTAAAACTTTTGATAGAACAATTGGAGATATTTAAAAATTTCTTTGATGCTTTGAATGTTGACGATATTGAAAAGTAAGGGTAAGAGTACTGTAGGGAATTAAAATTTACTCGTAGACACAACTCACGCTGTCGCTCCAAAGCGGCTGCAGCACTCTCAGCACACTACACACTGTGTGTGCGCCTTCATTCTACCAACAACCAGACGAGAATTAGAGAGAGATAAGTTAGTAAGCGAGTTTAAGTGTTAGACAAAGCTAACAAGTATTAGTCATGCGGGGGACTTGAAGCTAAAAACCACCGTGGGAGGGATTAAATCTCTTAGGATCAGAATGGAGCAAGTCTATGGAGTGTAATGAAAATTATCTAACCTTTTAGATCATCTTTTTTCTATATTAAATATTTACTAAAAAATTGATTATCAATCAACAATCTTAATAGATCATTTTTAAAACACTATTATATCAATTTATACATTTTTATTTAATTTCGTTCTTGGAAAACTGAAATTAGACGGTGATTTCTTGGAAGACAATTATTCTCATCTGCATGTGGATAATAAGAATATTATATACATTCTAAAAAGATGATTAATAATATTGTTAAACTTAATAAAAGATATTTTTAATAAGTTATTTTTATAAAACAACCAACGTATTTGCCTGAAGTTGAAAATCAGGTATAATAGTAGAAGTTTCCCAGAAGAAAATGACCCTCGACCCTGATGTTTATGACCGTAAGAAACCAGATGTCTTATTTTATGAGTCTTTGAACACCCAGCCTTTTTTTTATTTCTTAAAATTGAAATCTGTTTGTCTTTAAATTTTACGTCTTAAAATTAAATAGATATGAGTAAAAACTGTCAAGTTGAATAGTGTAGAAGTAGACATTCTGATATTGTAGAGATTTCAGAAAAACTTATAAATGAATTAAGAATGAATGAAAATATTTATTTAATAATAAAAATAATTTTTGATATTTATATAATTGTCAGATTAATTTAATAATGTGTTAAAATGGTTGAATTAAACTGCTTCGTTCCATAAATTGATAAGCCTTCTTCAGCAAATTTTAACATTGTCAATGGTCTTCTAGCGTGGGTGTAAATGGATACAGTTAAGTTTCCTGTTGGCACATTTGGATTTAGATTATACCTCGTATCTTAATAGCATATATAGTAATTATCATAATTATAAATGCAATATGATTTATTAATAATTACTCGTAAAAGCTATGATCAATTAAGCAAAATAAATAATTAATCAATCTATATCAAACAAAAATTCAATATTCAATTTTCCAGTGAAAATCAATTGCTTCTGTCGTTGACATTTATTATTATCAAACAGCCTGCAGCAATGTTTCCCAAATATGGATCTTACAAGGCTGACTTCCACTGAGTGCTCCAATTTATCCTGAAGACTCAGTTTCAAGTTATATTTTTTATCATATATATTTTAACAATCAATTTTATTGATATAATAATTTACTTGATTTATTAAACAACCAAGTTATGTATCATTTTTACAAATTTTATTTTACTATAGGAGATTCTATTTAGAGTTATATTAGTCAATATCCAGGGTATCCAAGCGACACCCGTTAGATTGTGTGGTAAGTGATCTTTGTCCACACGTGCTGCACACTTGCATTTGTCTGCTTTACTTCTCGTATCCATATTCCTCTTTTCTTTAGCTTGAAGCATATCCAGTTAGAGTATGTTCTCTCGGTCATCTTATCAATTTTCAATCCAAGAAATTCGTTGGAATTTTTCATTTATCATTTCATAATAGTCTCAGTAATAAATTACATCATCAGCTCAAGAAAAAATTATGTACTTATTTTAAAATAATATTATGATAAAAAGAAATATTTTCTAGAGTTAGAGACATAGATAAATGAGAAGTTTTAAATTTTTTATTAAATTAATAGAATTGAAGTGTTTGAGGTAAAAAACGAGACTGTTTTAATTTTATTTGTTAAATGATACGCAATTCAGTGGAAACAATCGTGGACTTATTTAATATACTGCAACAAGAGGAAGGAAGAGAAGCGTGGGTTGCTATCATTCTCCGGTTGTGATAGTATGCCATTGCCTCCTCTTCCTCGTCTCACTTTTAAGTTTCAAACTCTTCTTTTTTCTTTTTCAACTTCCCTATTATGAACAAACTTCAAGCACAGTCAACTATTCTTTTTCTGCACGAATAGCTACTAGAGGAAACGGAAGGCCATATGACCACGTGCTTTCATGTCATACTAAACAAAGTATAAAAAATATCTACAGCAAAGATAGAACACTACAATGGAATTTTATTTATATTATTTATATGTATTTATTTATTTTTTATAATAATTATTTTAATTATATTTTATAATTTTTAACTTTAATGAATTATGTAAGAGTATACTCTTGAAATTTTTTCAATCCTAATTGCAACTTTAATATTAATTTCTTAAATTTTATCTTATTTTTCACATGAATTTATTTTATTATTTATTATAATATAAAAAGAAAGAAGATAAGAGAAAGCAGAAGCTCAAGTTTGGTATGAAGCAGATGAAAATGTAGATGGAGAATACTAGAAAATTGTCCAACAACTGATAAAGCTGATCGCATTTCTAATTAACATATTTCTGCAACACGTTAAAAATTCATTAATTATCTAGTTATTCATTTGATAAAATATTATCAAATAAATAAATAAATATCACAAAAAATAATAACAATTTAAAAGAATAAAATAAGCGTAGATAGCAACGTTAACAGTAAGGTAAACGTCAAAGGAGTTCGGACGGCAATGGCGAGACTATTGAAGACGTTGGTAGTGCCTCGCCTTTTTTAGATATATTCAGCAAACATTATCCAGTATGTTACATTGAGTACTGCAAAAAGAAACGGAAAGAACACTCGTGAGGTTCGATCGATGTTGAGAGCTCGAAGTCTTGCTCGTTGAGCAGGCGTAGGACCTGGTGGAGGTAGATTTGCAGATTTCTGCGAACGACCCGATAGCAACATTGCATTCTCCTGTGTGACAATAATCACAATTTGAACATCAATTAATCCAATTTTCTTCTGTGCTTCGGAGAGGAAAAATATTTATTGATTATATTTATTATAATCAATATTTAATTGAAAGAGGCATATTGTGTTACAGCACACAGTCCTCGCCGAAACACAGAAGAACATAGTTAAGTAATTTTCGTCCAGCCGTTACCTTGGAAGCAATATCAAAAATCTTATCAAGTTTAGTTGAATCCCCAGGACCAGTGGAAGTCGTAGCTGGTGGTGGAGGTGGTGGTTTGGGTGCAGGAGCATCAGAGTCACCCAAAACAATGTTGACTAGACAGTATTCCATCAAAGCCATGAACACAAAAATTGTACAAACCGACATGAAAGCATCCACTGCTTTTAGATATGACACTGGAGGTAATGATGCCTGGCTTTTTGCATGCTGCGTTGATAAAGTCAGTAAAGATGTGACTCCCAAAGTCACTCGTGCTGGTGCTGCTTCTGGTTTGATCCAAAATGATACCCACTATAAAATATTATTTTAAATAAAAATTAAATAATAATAATTTCTGTTGATATGGTCATTTTTGATATAATTATTAAAATTTACTTACAGACATGATGACAATTAAACATGTAGGAACATAAGTGTGGAAAAGATAATAACCAAGACGTCGTTTGAGTACGAAAATCACCTCCAGGCATGTGAAATTACCTGTCGAGGATTCATAAATGAAATTGATTGTGATTATTTTCATGCATTTTCACAAGTAACGTACCTGTAGAGTAAACTTGAGTACAATCAGCAGTATAATTCTTAACAAGCTGCAATTGTGGTAACTCAATGTTCTCATCAACAACAAGAGGTACATCTGGATCCCATTGGAATATCATTTCATCCGTCGTGTGCGAAACTGTTGACCGAGTTAGTTAATTGCGTGTTATCTATTCAATCTTTGTTTTTGACTTATCGATTTTCTTTTCAAACTACAATTCCTCTTATTATCAAACTGAGCTTATAAAATACTGTTTTATTTTTAGATTTAACTAGCATCAAATTTATGTAGCGTTATGCTAATACTTACGGCTTTCCATCTGTAGTTTACATTCCTGAGTGTCGTGAGGGTAGATTAGGAAATTCATAGCACATGATAGTTTCAATGTCAGCCTAAATGTCAATGTTTAGTCTTTAAATTTCTTTACTTATTAAAAATAAAGAGTGAATGACAGAAAGTAAACTATAAAACTTCTTACTTGACCATGTAAAGGATGGTTTTGTCTTTGTAAAGCCAAAGATAGTGATTTGGTATCGTCATCGTTTGAAAAGTCACTGATTTAGCATTTTTGAAAAACGAATCTGGTCTCCACATATTTTTTAGCCAATCTACTTCTAACAATCTAAGAAATTTTAGAATTTTTAAAAATAACTTTTTAATCATTATTTTATAATCAACGTGAATTTCCAATATATTTAATAATATTATCATTATGATTTATTTATCATTGAAATACCTGTATTCAGAAGTCATATTTTCAGGAAGTCGAAGTCTATTATCCTTCCACGTTTGAGCGAAAAAAATATCTGCTGCATATGTCTAAAATTATTGTGTAACATATCAATCTAATATTTCACCATAACTTTATGAAATGAAACAAGAAATAAAATTACCATTGACGTTTCGTCAATAGAATCAAGACCCATAACTGTGACATGAAAATACACAACAGTAGCTTGTCCATCTTTCTTTGGTGGTCTCATCTTATCATAGAGTTTAGGGTCTTCAGGAAGAAGATCATAAAATTCCAGACTTCTCCTAAAATAATTGACAATCATAATTGAGATAGGCCTGTATATTTTTTAATAACACTGTCAATTAATTGCTTGCAACTGTCGTCATCATTCAGCTGCTAAAAAAGTAATAAAAAAAAAATTGACTGCCGTGACTACAGAAGCGATCTTACTGAGCGTACGCATCGTTGATGAGGAAGCCTAGAAGAATCAGCTGAAGAATAAAACAAAAATTGAGAACAGCTGAAATACCACGTTTCCACATCCTTATCATCACCCAGTTCTTTTTCTAAGCTTCTTTAACACATTTTATTCAATTTCTTCATTACACTTTCTTGTTTATATTTAAATATTTGCTTCAAATCTAAAAACAAAAATTGATTAATTTCTCCTCTGGTACTGATGAATTTATTAGAACTGGATACCAGTGCCGAGGAGATACATTGGGCGACTGGATTTCTTGCAGAGATTTTGTAGAAGCTGCACAATTGGTGGTGGGAGATCGAAAGAGGAACCTGGAGAGTTGAAGAAGGGTGAGAGGATGAAAGGAAAGAGACGGAAGAGGTTGAAAGTGGTGTACCGGAGGGAAAACTACCCTTTCTTTTTTTTCAACATTGGCTCCCTACCCCTGCAGATCTCCAGCGCTGCACTATTGCTCTGATCTTACTGTGTTACGTACCTTTCAGTGATCGCGATAGATAAGTCGTAAGTGTCTACGACTTGTCGAGGGAGAATGAGTGACGAGTTAAGAGAAAGAGTAGTGGTAATCCCCCTGGAGTCTCACACTACCCTCGACCTCTTCCCAATTTGCTTCAATGCAGTATTTCGTAACTGTTCAACTATTTCGATTCTTTATATCAATCTTGATTCTAATTGTTAATTGAAAATTAGAAAACGGATATTAGAAATCAAGTTTAGCATTGATTGGGAACAACTAAATTCACCAATAAAATTTAATTATCATCATTTCATATAAATAATTATAAATTCATGGCAATTATTGAAAGTGATGATTAGAGAAAGAAAATAATTTGATCATTAGTTTTACGCGATAAACTTTTTAATTTATTTTTAAATTCAAAATTATCATTGTAACATAGAATCCTTTTTCAAGGATCAACTGAGTCTTGGTACATCAGAGTCTGGTAATCTCAATGCTGGGCTCAGATATATCTAGACTGTGCTTTCAGAAAATTTATTGATAAACTAATTTTATTAATAAAATTATCTTCATTAAATAACTGTATAACAGTAAATTAAAATGAATACTTTTTAAAGATTTTATTAAACTTTTAACTATATCTAATCGATAAGTCTATAGATGATATATTTCATGAAAAAAATTAAAAAATTATACTACAATTTTAGTTGAAAAAAGTTAAAAAGGTAAGAAAAAAAGAATGATTATAAAGCCTATATTGTAGGTAATTTTACTAACTACTATGACATTCACAGAGTTATTAGCAACACTGCTCGATGCATCGATCCTCGAAATTGTGTTGCAAATAAAAAACTGCAAAGTAAAGTGCCTGTTCTTGAAGAAACGATCTACCTCTTTCGAGATGATCATTTTTTCAAAAGACAAAATTACATTGTATTATTAAAAAAAAGGGTTATACATAAAAAAAATAGTTTTAATTTATCGTCATCAACACAGGCTGAGTGGAAAAGTGATTAAACTTTCTTTAAAGTGGAAGAAGAGCCCAAAGTTTGATTTGAATCAAAAAGAATGAAAATATGTAAAACTTAAAACTAGAAGAAGACCAGAATTTTAGCTTGCTCACTCTTCTCATCTAACGATTTTAATTGTAAACATTGTCAAAGCTAGTGGTTGTATGCGCACATAAATAGAGACTCCGGAGGTACTTATTTCTGAAGCATCTTGTTTCTCATTCTCGTTCATGATTGTTACCCACACTAAGAATATATCTCTACAGTTCATCATCCAACCCGTTAATATTGCAGATAGAAATACAGGCACCTGTATGCTATATAAGATCTTCCTATATTCTCTTTTGGTACGATCGTCCTCGTGGAAGCACCCCTTCAAGAGTCACCACTCCACTGCTTTCTATTCGTGCCACAATTTTGAGGATCGATGCATTGAGCAGCATTTTCATCGTTAATAGTCCAGTCAATAAAAGCTTTCAAAAGACTGAAAATTTTTTTTTAATATTATCAATCATAATGGTAAAATATATCAAATAATTTTTGTTTAAACATGCATCTAATTAATTTTGAAAAGTTTTTTTTATTCTTTAAATTTAATCTTCTTTTTAACGAACTGGCCACTATTAGTTGATGCTGATGATGAGTTGAAGAATGCTACTCATGTAGCAGTACAAGTAATCATCAAAAATCTTAAAAATATACTATGCACAAATATGTTAGCAAGATAAGGCAGTAAAATTGTTCAAAGACTAAAAAAATAAATTTAGAAAGAAAACTAACAACCTTTGTAATGAATTTTGTTGAAACATTGTATTGTAACATTCAAATGGAATTTCTATTGTTAGTTAAAATAAAACAAAAGTGAAGATTCATTGACTATTATTCCAAAAAAGTCCTAAAAAACTAGGGTAAAATTCCTGGTATATTTATAGATCTTAATTAATGATAATAAGTTAAATTATTTTTTTCTTTTGTTGCTTTATACTTTATAGACAAGCTGTGTCAAGCTGAATCTAGCAATTTCTTTTGTAAAATATATCTCGCTTCATATCGATGACGACGTCAGTTTTTGGTGTGCCATGACGTCACTCAAATACTACTTGAGGCCTGATAGGATCAGATTTAAAGCTGCATATTTGACAAAAATAAATCCAAATCATTGCTTCTGATTTTGCAGTTTTTTCTTTCGAATTCTCTAATTAGGTTTACATGATTCCAATCTTGATTTGATCAAAAACGAAATAACTGCTTTACGAATACTAGAAATTATGCAAAATTATTTATTTACTACTTTCATTCATTTATTTTGATTGATTCTTTAATTATAGATTGACCTGAATTTTTGACGAAGTGAGCTTGCATTGGAAACATTAGATCCCATGTTGAGTGTTTGAATTGACACTATTTATAAAAATTCAACAATATATAAAATTAAAAAAATATTAAGTATATGAATATCGATGAAAATTTATCCTTTTAGCAGAAAACGATCGATTGTTGGCACAGGGCACTAAAATTTCGCCTCTTCCCTCTCAAAAGGCTCAAGTATTTCGAATGACTTGACGAAGCAACTACATCTCTCTCGAGTCCGTCAAGTGTGAGATGGCCCCCAACTTTATTTCCAGCAGGGACTTGAGTATTTCTAGTCATCCACTCAACTATTTCTGGTGGCCTACCAATACAAGCTACCGATTTATTCGCTTTATACTTTTAGCCATAATGTCACTCAAGCCAATACCTACCTAATAGAAGTCTAGATAATCTTCAACTCCTCCAATAGCAACCTACTCAAAGTTTCAACCATATTTTTTTTGATTCAATTATCCTCTAAAGATTCTTCTGCTTTAGTTAAGAAGTAAAAATCTATAAAAATAAAATTTTTCAATAACTACAACTCAAAAGATTTTACAATTCCTCATATGGAAAATGTCAAGGTGTTTAGCTCATGACAGTAGCTAAATTAAATTGGCAAAGTATTGCAGGTTGTCTGTTTAAGATGTAAGCATCCATTTTGTAGCTGCGCAACTCAGTGACGTGCTTTTTTCGCAAACGTCAGCAAGAGAAGGTGTAAAAAGGGGATAACGATACAGACATATAGTAGGAAAAAGTTAGTAAGACCATTTGAGGTAGTTGGAGACGATGCACGATAAGCACGCTTCGCCCCTCTTTCCTCTGACCTTATATACCCCTTCTTTTTTTTAATCATATACTTTTCATCCTATACTACATTATTGTCCTCATACTGAGTCTCTTGAAGACACCAACTTATTAATATTAATTATACTATTCATTATTCTAAGTTCTAAATGAAAGAACATTTTTCTTCTGAAGATTATCAAATTTCAAGCAGATTTTAATTTTTTTTTTTCATAGCAAATGAGAAGTTAAAGTGTAATTAAATAAATCATGAATTGCAAATTCTAGTATTAAAAAATACTTTTTATAATAATAATTATTAAAAATAAATACTTACCATGTATTAATAACAAATTACTATGATATTAAAATGAAATATTAACGATTTTTGGTATAGGATAGATGACATTTATTTTTTATCTTAATTTTTAATTATAATTATTATTGTTTACGCTACTGTTGCTATACTCATACAGAATACCTACAATTATGTCATTAATTATGCGTGAATTCAAAGAATGCGTGAGGTACGCGCTCATATTCAATAAATTTGCTCTTTTTCAATTATTGCGCGTATTTAAGCCATGACTCGAGGAAAAAGTAATCATGATTGGACGGCAAGTCCTATTTGATTATTTAATTTAATGTTAATTCATCTTTTTCTAAATAGTTTATTTTATTTAAGAATTTTTTTAAAAGTTAATTCCTATTAAAATCAGTAGAAAATCGAATATTATTTATTTTATGTAACTAATTACATATTTTTAAAATTTCATATTCCTCGAGTCATTTTCAATACTTTATTCATCTCGTCGCGATTACAATGATTCGTTCGCAATATTTTGCGCTTTAAACATTTTCATTACATTTAATTTTATTATTCTCTTGTTATCAACTCGCATTCATACCGTTAATTTAATTTATAATTTAAAGTTTTCAAATAAAACGGTATAAATTAACACAATTGACAACAAACGCCGTTGTAAAATGCGATTAATCGCAGAAACTGGCCTAATTTTTTTTATCAAACAATTTCATACGTTGTCACTTTTATTTTAGCAACCATGGAGAATCCTGCTGACAATCCTGAGTAATTAAACATCACTATCATTGATATATTTACACATGTCAAATGTGTAGATACTTTTATTAGTCCATAGTAACGTCATTTAATTGATGCCAACTTTAATAAATCCCATTTCGTGCGTTTTGGTTTTTTGTTTTTGTTTCTTTGTTTCACTCTCCTTTCTCATAAAGTGATTCTCTTCTTTTTGATATATTAGACAATCTTTATTTTTAACTACGTACATTTACCCTTGTAAAATAATTTTTGTACGTATACAAATATTTCGATTGTCCTAGAAAAATTGATTTAAACACGACAAGAGAATTTCACGAAAGCTTGACGATCATCACCTTTCCTTTGGTTTTGAAGACTTTGTAACGGAGTAAAAGAAAGAAAAATTCCTTAGGAAGAGTGAGAAATAAGGAATAGGGACGAACGGTTTATATGTTACTCACGAGATATAAACATGATTTTAAAAAGACAAAAGACAAAATCTCGTTCAAACACATATTTCTGTCGCAAAATTCTTTAGCCGAGTTGCGAATTCCAATTACTCGGGGAGAGTTATTGCATGAAATAATCTGGATGATCTGAATCCTTCTCAAACCTCTTGGCCTCCTCCTGCATGCTTTCCTTGATCTTGAGAATGGCTGCTGACTCGTTCTGATCCTGCGAACCAACCAACACCAGGCCGGTTACACGTAAGTCGTTGAGCATCACACCCACTCATGGTAAATGGTACTATTTTTTTCTTTTAATGCTTTTTTATTGTTCAATGTTCTATTTTATTCAAGTGCAAAGGATAACTTCTATTATAAAGATTTCTTTACTAAATATCTATTTATAATATTTTACTAATCAAGAATTTATTATTTTTAATTAATATATGAATATTTTTCTACTTTTTTTAAATAAAATATTCTATCACTTTCCATTGGATTCATTTTTTGTATTATCAAAGGAAGTAATTTTTTTTTTTTTTTTTCAATTAATTAATTAATACAAAAAAAAAAATTAAAATTACAAGCAAAAATGTCTGCAAAAAATAGTGTGTGAATGTAAAGTGATTAAAAAAAAGTAATTTGTTCTCAAAAAAGAAAAAAAAAAATAAAATGTAAAATGATAAAATAAAATGAAAGTGAGATTAATTAAAGTCCTTTGATCTTGAATAGAATTGTTAAATGTTAATAAATAGACTTTTTGTGCCACACACCGTGGTGGATGCGTGCTAGGTGCGGTGATGGTGCGTCGGTGGGGTTGGGCTTTATAATAAAAGATTAAAAAAATTCTATTGACCAGGTTAATGTTATTTCTAGGATATTTCTTAGGATATTTGTGACATTTTTCAGGGTGCTCTGACCCACAACACATGGACGATAGAAAGTGCGATAAAATAATTTTGTGCCTTTCATTAGAGGCGGCCTACTTCCCTTCCCACGCACGCACACCTCACTGAATTGAAAAAATTGTCAATTTATGAAAAAAAAACGATGATTAATTAAATGTATGATTATTTCAACCTAATAATGTCATTCGACATTTTTAGGTTCCTTTTTTTTAATTTAACTATTATGATTTTTTTTTTTTTTTGGTTTTGATTAATAAACAATTTGCTAATTCGCAATCCACAATCTTAATTCGACTCACGCATCCATGTGCTACAGGTCAGTACAGTCTAGTACCATATACAGCTATCAGATTTATTTTCAAAGTAAAGAATTATGTTATAATCGACGTCGCAATTTTTAATATTAATTAATACAATGCAAAACATGTTTCATGCGTTCCGCAATTTTAGAAATGATTAGGAAAGGATATTTTATATTAATTGATCATTTTAAAAAAATATAAAACAGGAAATTGTGAATAAAAAATTTCATGATGAAAAAAAAATAATTCACAATATCCTTAAAAAAAAAAAAATTGTAGACTCAGAGTTAAAGGAATGGATCCTTGGAGAATTAAAATAATTGAGGTCGAAGGGATGATTACGTGACGTCGTGAAACACAAAATGCATTTAACGAACAATGAATAAATAAATAAATTATATTCATAAATATACGCGAAATAAACGACGATAGTTATATATGAATACTGCAGTAGGCAACACCCTGAAGGTTATAAATGAAAAAAAGAAAAAAAACGCAGTAGTCTCAGTGTAACAGGATTACATTTATTGTCTCGATCTCCCTTAGCGTAGGCATATTTTTAAATTACTTAATCAGGCGTAATATAGCTTACAACTTGGGAGTAATTGAGTAAACGGTATTTTAATGTTTAAACAAGTGCGTTTACATTTCAAGATTTATAAAAAATTATTACCTTATTTAATCAACATCTAAATAATTTACTAATTAAACAAATAGCTGATAATAATATTAGATAATAATATCGAGTATTTTAAAACCATCAATTTATAGTTAAATGACTTCAAATCACGGTGAATCTTGGAACGTAAGCGTACCTTCGACGTCGAGTATATTAAGTCTCTTTAAGTTGAAACCTCAGATATTAAAAAAAAATATTCCTCATGAACGCGAGCTTATTAACGAATTTTTAGACTGACTTGTTGATGAGTTAAAATTTTTTGAAATTGTTTTCAAATCATTTTTTATATGAAAATATATTCGTATATTAAAATCAGTCTTCATCAAATGAATAAAAAATAACTATTTTGCATTGTTTCAATTCTTTTTATAAAAACAAAAAAGAAAAATAAAAAACTATGATTGGAAAAAAGTTTACACATTGCCAGTCCAAAAGTCCGTACTTTAACGCGAGCTTTTTAAATATTATTTTACATAAGACACTTCTATTTATATAAATATTTGAATTTATCGTTAATTGTAAGTAATAGCAGCACAGCATAGTCTGGTACTGACCTATAATCACCTGCGGACGGATGGACTATTTAATATTTTATTTTATTTCATATTTTGTTTGATTGATATTTAAAAATTTCTTCAATCAATCAATAGCTTTATACTTTATTGTTAATTATTTCGATAGATTTTTTATAATTATTTTTATGAGTTTTAATTATTATTAATTGCTTCTCAAATCTGCTATTATATTAAATATCATCATTTTATCAAGGTCCAGTACTCACATTGTCTACGAGTCTTATAAGAATACAAAAATAGTAACGCTTCACTTTTTTTTTTATAACATTCCTCTTACTATTTTTCAAGTACTTGATTGAAAATCCGGCAACGTTTTATTATACCTCGCAATACCTCGTGGTTTATCGCGAACAAAAATGTTTATCTTTTAACGCATACAAATCATCAATTACCTGTTCTTCATATGAACAGGATAATTAAACAATATCATAGTTAAAAATTTACAATTTAAATTTTGTTTTTATAAACTATATACACTGTTTATATTTTAAAATAATATTTACTGTATATAGTGAGTAATAAAGTGAAAAATTTTATTTGTTAATAATATAATTATTTAAAAACTTGTTTATTAAAACAAATGTTAATAGAGTTTAATTAAAATCAATTAAGTTAGCTAAGTCAGTTCATGCTGTTAAACAAAAAATATTTATAAAAATACTATGTACATTGTTATAAATATTTATCAAAAATATCATGTAAGTAATTAATTAGCTTGCATTACTTAGCAATAATAATATCTAGTATCAATTTTGTTTTACTCTCCACGATAACCCGAAATAAATATTAATTTTTAGAAATAAAAACGTTATCATCAAGCAATAATTAATTAATTAATTATTAAATATAGTATAAAGTTATTTCAAACTTATAATGATATACAAACATGACTGAGTAGACAAGAAACACAGCTCGATCTCCTTACGGAGGTCAGTCGCACGTTAGTTGTACTTTAAACCGTAAAATTAAATGTATTAATTAATATTAAAAATAATAATGTTCATTAGTTTGTTTTTATTTCATAATAATTGAGCAATTGATTAAGCGGCAAGATTTAAGATTTTCAATAGAATCGTAATCGCGAAAATGAATATCAGATCCACTAGGAATTGCGATACGTACATGTTGCCGATTACTAAACGTGTGATCCCGAATAATAAACGGGTGCACTATTTACTTTTTATACATAATGAGCAAAAAATTGGAGGGACTCGATTTGCTGCCAACTAGACTTGTCTATCTACTGAACTTTAAAAAAAAAGTTGAACATTTTATTCTGGATCGCTGATATTTATTTATTTGTTTTAAAGCATTAAAGACGACTAGAACTTTAGATTTTTATTTTAAAAAATATTTTCAATCTTTTACTTAATTTCAAAATGAAACAGTGGATTTCCTTAAAGAAATTTTTTTCATTTGCTCAATAATAGAAGGACAAACCTGTTGGCAATAATGTAATAATAAAAAATAATTGTAATAATAATAAAAATAATAATAGTATTAATAATAGCAATAAGAATAATAATAATAGAGATAACAATATAATAATTATAATAATAACTATAATAATAATGATAATAATAAATCATTAAAACTATGTGATAAAAGGGACACGAATATAAAAAAGAATTTGGCAATTATGCAACCAAATCACAGTGGCAAACAGCTATGAATAAACAGCCTTCTTTTAACTTTCAGGCACTATCATTTTATCATCAATAAATCAATGATTTTCTTTTTCTTTTAATAAATATAAATTAAAGTTCGCGTTAACTATCGTTATTTGTTGAATTAAAATCTAATATCTGAGCATAGTACTAAACATATGTAGTAAAATAATAAAAAAATGCAACCTTGTGAGTATTAGCAAAGCATATACATTATATGGCGATAGTGGCATTTAAATAATAATAATAATTATCATTATCATCATCATCGTTATAAAATCTCAGTACCATCTCGGATTTAAGGATTATTTTTAGTGAACAATAACCATGTATTCACGAACACTGTCATCGATCTTAAATAAAACTCGTCACGAAAGACAAAGTATTTAATATTTTTTTTTCTATTTTTTTTATTTTCTCTATATGTTTTCTATTTTATATTTTTTCTATATGTTTGATTTTTATTAATTACTTTTCAATCATACTGTGCAGATTTATATGTAAACATGCTTAACAGTAGATAATTCGCGTTGATTCCTTCCTCTTTCTGTATAATCGGGTAGTTTACGATGCCTATGAGCTCGTAGCTGGATCCAAGGCGATTTCATTTAAAAAAACTGTCGAGAATACAGAACGTACACGTATGCAGTTACTTTAAATAATAAATACCCGGAATAATTATAACTATCGCGAGGGAAAGTTGTTTTTACTTAATTATTTTGTTTTAATAGATATAATTTAATTGAGTATCGATTGTGTATTCAATTCTCTTTATCAAATAAATCTTATAATTCTGTTTCATAGTTTTACCCATAATGTAGAATAAAGAGATCATTACCTAAACGATAAATAATTATTGACTAGATTTAAAATTTTAAAAAATTACTAAAATAAAAATGAGTACCATTAAAAGTACTCTAACTTAAATACCCAATCGATCTCAGAAAATAGAGTTCATTTTTTAAGTAATTTTTGTCTTCAATAGTCACATAATTATCAATAATTATTAATAAACTTTAAAACTTAAGCTTGTGGCTGTAAGTCAATAAGATTGATAAAAGAAATTGTTTTTACACCAAATGACAAAAGAGTTAACTCCTCAATAATGTAAGTAATAATTGTTATGTAATGAATTTTTTTTAAATAGTATTTTTCTGCATGCGGATTAAACTCTACACGGTACGTAAGACGTGGATTGTGAATTGATTGCAAATGCAAATTGATCAAAGATTAAAAGAGAACCTGCTGATACTTACGTTTTCACCTGGACCACCAAAACCACCTAGATTATAATCACCCATGCCACTGCCACTGTCTTCTCTTGGTGTACCGGGGCCTCCATTAGCTGGGCTATTTTTCATACCATCAAGACCATCACCATTTAATACTGGACCCATTGTATTGGGTCCCATTGGACCCATTGGTCCACCTTCTGGTCCTCCACTCATTGGAAAATCCTACAATGTTTAAGTTTTTATAAAATAATTGGCTTTTATGAAACTATACTTGTTTGATGAGTTGATAATAGAATCGTAAAAAGAACTTGACTATCGTAAATCGTCAGAAGAACGATCATTACCATTAACGTCTTTTTATGCGTTGAACATTAATGGAGACATAAATGTTCATTAAGCAACTCATCAATTTAATATTTATGTGTTACTTACACCAGGCATGTTGCCTCCAGGTACTGGTTTCATCATTGTGTACATATTTTCACCACCACTATTGCTACTGTCTTGTGGACTTGGCATTATCGGCGTACCGGGACCTGGGGGTCCTGTCGAACCTGGTGGTCCACCATAATTACCAGGGGATGATGAAGAATAGTTCATAGGCTAAAAAAATGAAATTATTATTAATTAATGTTTTTTGTTTAAAGTTACAATCTTTTTAAAAATAGTTTTATGTTTAAAATTTGTTTTTAACAATTTCTAGTAAAAAATTAAATCTTACTGTTGATGTATTTGGCTGCCATTGGGGTCTTCCAGGTCCTGCCATACTCATAGGAGGCATTCCAGGACCACCAGGTCCTCCTGGACCTAAACTGCTATTTGGTGGTGGTCCTCTCATACTTGGACCATAATTTCCAGGACCCATTGGTCCCATTGTTGGTCCACGGGGTGGATTCATTCGTGGATTCATGGGATTCATACCCGGTGGTCCTATAGACAAAAATTCTATTAATATATAAATCGACAAGACATCAATGCAGGGCTACACAGTAATGAATTTATGTTAATACTATGACGCTAAATTGTTTTTTAATGATTAAATTTGAAGCGTGACCAAATCCACAACTTATATATATATTATTTTTAAAACAATAAAGCTTACTAGTATTTTTAAAAACTTCAAGAGATAAAATTCATCTCTTTTGCATAAAAAAAATAAATAAATTGCCAGAGTTCTTATTCAACATTTAAAGCTTATACCATGCTTTACATTAAGTACAACCTTATCTTAAAAAGTAAAAGATTTTTAAAAAAATCGAGAAAACTTTTAGTAAGCAGATTAGTAGGTATTATGAATTAGAAGCTTTTAAGCAACTTCTCTGGCTTGTTGTTAATATTAATGACAAAATAAATTATTTTTATTAATTTTTTAGGAACGAATCAAAATTTAGAATTATTTGTGCTTCATTTTGAAGGTAAAATAATGATGAAGCTTACGAATAATGATAAGAATTATAATAAAAAGCAATGAGTATTTGTTTCAAGTGTTTTTCCACAATAATATTGAGAAGATAAATTTTTTAAATAGACTTGTGTGTCATGTACTAATGATGTGCGCAACAGACTAATGTATCTATCCTCAGGAAAGTGAATAAATCGATAAAAGAAAGCCAGTGCTATTGACTTTAACGAATAAATAAATAATATGATAATGACTATAAATGTAATAATAATTATAAAAGGCAGAAGAGGAGAAAATAAGAGGTAGGCTTGACTATATAAAATATGAGTGTGATTCGGTTGCTGGGTTGCTTCCTACCTTGCCACCCTACAAACTCTCCAGCTTCGCCTGAGGAACACAAGAGCACACATTAGTACGGCAGGTAGGTATAGTAAGGTCAAGTTGATGGCAGCAAAGCCTAGTTATTTAACAGTAGTATTCTAATTGCAATATTTTTTATGTTAATTTTTTTTTTTTTCAAAACTCACTAAATCTCATGAAAATTTCTTTAGATACAAGTTCACTCTTTACTTTTGTATAATTATACCACTGTCGTTAACTAGACATTTTATAAAACCAATCCATTCCATATCACAGCAATCCAATCCTTCGTATGTAAATAAATTATGTACTAAAAATCAATATTTTGCTGTGCAATTTTTTATATCTTTTCAATCGAATTTTGTTCTCAATTATGAATATTATTTTCATTAATTATTTTATTATTAATATTAATATTATTATTTTTAATTTTTCGATACTCATGCGACTAAATCATTCTTTTTTTAATATGCTTGCCAATACGTAAAAGAAGAAAATATAAACTCAATAATCAGAATTATTTACCTTGTCTAGTTGGATCCATATTATTTGGCATCATCGGTTGACCTGGCGGCTGTAATAAACGGAGCATCCATAAAAATGTAATCAATCAATCGTTGAGCTTAATCATTATTTATCATTGTCAATGAATAAATATCAATAAATAACACAGACTTGTAAAATGTTCCAATTTTGAAATATAAATTCATTTCAACTACATTTAAATACATTTAATTTACTTCAATTTTTTACGAATATGTGTTGTTTATTTTTAATAATTCTTTATACAAAAATTAGCTTAAATACTTACTCCATTGAAATCATTTCCCATTTGAGGCATACGAACACCTGGTCTAGGTCCTGCAGGATATCTGGGCATAAACTGTAACAATAAATTTCACTTATAATATTAACCAACAAATCAAGCCACATTGAATGATTAATTTCATGAGAAACTCAATGATTAACTACCAAATGATTAGTTGGCAAATTGTGCAATTTTACGCTTTAAGAGAAATGATTATCTAAATTCATATTATTCGCGTATTTTACATGATGTTTAATGTTAAATAACTGACATTCTAATAAGTCTATATGCAATATTCTATCATTTTTTACATTAATATAAAGTAGATTTCTGTTAAAAGAAATAGGTTTAGGATATCGCAGGGGCAAGATGCGAATTTTTAATTTAATGTGAACAATGCAAGAATTGGTTAATTTAACGCTGGAATCATCATGTTCCAGTCTTACCTTTCACGCTTACATATTAATGATAAGCATCGATGGTATATAATGTTAGCGTTAATGCACAAAAGCCGTATAAAGTATCTTACCTTCATCAGGATATTCTAAATAATGTACAGTGTAATAATTTATAAAATGATCATAGTCTAGTCTAGTGATAATCTAATGAAGTTTTGTTAGATCAAGGAGACAGTAAAACAAAAAACAACAAAGAATATTGTATTTTTCCAATAATTGTCAGTTAGACTAGGTAAAGTGTGTCGTAAAATTTGAATCGATAACATTGTCATGCAATGTGAATCTTCATACATTAATCTTTGAAAAATGGCGAGATCGGTCAGTAGTAGTAATGGACAAAAATTGATAGAACTTTTTAATGAATTATTTAGTATTTTTAATTCATGCTCACGCGATTTACTTCAACACTGAAGGAAAAATTTTGTTTATTAATAAACGAATATTATATAGAATGATTTTTTTTTATTGAAGTTACTAGAAATAATTTGTTCTAATTAGATTATTCTATTAACATAAGATCTTTACGATTACGATAAGAATAAAATAATGTTGTAACAAAAATATAATAATAATTATCGATATATTTTTTATAAATTCTTAACTAATAAGTGCACTAAGTTTGATGTTAATTTATGCAACAATACCAAATTTGAATTAATATTCGAAGGAAATAAAGGAATAACACGTACTGTTAAGTTTTAAATAGCTAAAAATTTTTCTTCAGTGCATTAAAAGAAGTTTTCAAGTGCATACAAAAAAATATGTGTTATTAAAAGATAAGAAGCAAGTTAGAAAACGAATAATGTACCGGTCTTAATGTCTATGCGATAAAATGGTTGGAAAGTGACGAATGATTAGTCAATGAGTGAATGAGTGTATGTGTTGAATGAGGCTTACCTGAGTGGACATCATCTGCGAGTGTGGGGGCGGGGGTGGCTGGGGGTGCTGGGGAGATGGCTGTGATGAGGGGTGTGTGGGCGGAGATGGTCGCATTGTCGAGTTGTTCTGCAACAAGCAATGCAAACGACAGACATGTAGCAACATTGCGATCCAGGCAACAACTATATACTAGAAGGCTTGGGGTAAAATGATTGTGTTAAAAATTCCTTAGGTCAAAATTTAGTAGCTTGAATTTATGCTAAATATTACATACACAATTGCATAACCAACTTGCAAAAAATAATTAATAATAGTTTATTTTGAAATATCAAATAATTCATATTCAAATATTTATGTAAAATGAGTTATTTATTGCAAGAAGGTTTTGTTCTATTTTTTCTTTTTGACAAAAATGTTTGATTATTGGGAAAACCATTGAATTATTTCGAGGTCTTTTCGTTATCGAATTGAAATGTCATATTTTTTTTGTACATTCAAATAAATACTCGATTTTGTTTCATTTAATATACCTCGATATAATATAGATAAGAATGCAGAAAATGTACAGTTAAATTAGGTTGAATCAATTATTTCACGTATCATTATTATCTAACTGTACATTTTGCTGACCTTTGACATAAAGAACCGAGCAAGCAACATTTTATGCAAATCCTGTCAACAGTAAATCAATTTTTTTGATATTCAAACTTATTTTTTTTTTAAATATGTTCAATGTTTATACTTATAAATGATTAAATCGAATTCAAGAAATTATCTGAAATTTTCCTGTCATTTATTGACATACCAAGTTTATGATCTAGACTCTAGGAAGGCTGTTCAAGATTTAAAGTAACATTGAAAATTTGACCTTTATTTGAAACTAATTATTTAAGAAAAAATTTACTTAATTATTGCTTTTAACGCTTCAATAAACAACAATAAAGTTTTATAATTGTTAAGTTAAAAAATTATTTTACATATTTCTTTATAAAAACAATTAGTTCTAATGTTGATAAAAGAAAAATTTTAGGATTTATTTTGTAAATTTTTTCTAGTAAAGAATAGTGTACGAATAGGAACTGGCTTCTACATGACTATAGTGTGAAAACTAATCTAATAATAAAGTCTAAAAAACCGTCGGTTTAAAAATATTCCTATTTTGATTCCATATAGCAAAGAAGTAAAATAATAAAGTGATTGACAAGTGCACATATACGAGTCAGGTACATAACAAAGAAAAATAAATATCAAATAGTGTAGTCAAGCATGACACAAGACTTTGGAATTTACACTTGTTTCAAAACTGATCCTAACACATAACTCTACATTCATAATTATTAACAATCAATCCAACATAAATAATTATATGATCATTGTCATTTAATGCCAATTTTTCATTCAATAATTTGAATAAAGGTCTACAGCCTGTCTCCTAGAGTACTAGGTCTCAACATAATCCTAAATATTTAATAATCAGTAAATGTATGTGATAATATCATCTAGCAGGTGTAGTTTATTAATTAAATAAGCTACGACGACTCATTCTCGTTACTCGAGCAACATCAAAAGTTCGTTACTCTTTATGAGTAAGATTTGAATCAAGTGTATCTCTAACTAGGTATAAATAGTTGATTAATTAATAATAATAATAATAATAATAATAATAATAATAATAATATATGTATGAATAAGTATATATAGACAAAGTATAATTTCAATGAAAAAATCCTAAAGAAAAGTTGTATTTCAAATACTAATAGGAAAAAATATTTGATTTAAACAAATAATCAAGCTTCTATTGATATGATTCATAATTATTAATTAATACCATAGATCTTGATTGTTTTCGCGTTCCCCAGAATGACGAAACATTCACACTTATATACAACGTGCATCGTATGAAGAAATAAGCTTAATTGCATGTCGGTGATCAGATGACCCATTAAAATTTCATCACAAGCATCGAATTATAAAGATGACAAATGTGAAATTATTTTGAGTTGAGACATATGAAATGAATCTGAATTTTTCTTTAAAAAAGTTCATAAAGTTTGATTTACGTGAGCCCCCAATCATTTAAATAATAAATATTTTGATAAAACATGTGATTCAATATAGTAAATAAAATTGATTTGATTGTAATTGAAAGGACAGAAATGCGAGGAGGTTTAAGAGTTCAAGTTTTAGAAATAGTAATTGATGATAACTTACTGGAAAGAATCCAGGGGGCATCGGGGCACCAGGCATGCCATCATTTGGTGGCAACTGCCCAAGTGGAGATGGTGCTGGTCCAGCATTCTGTAATCATTTTTTAGTTAAACAGTTGCAATTTCATAGAAAATAATTTTTTTTTTGTTTTCTATATTTGAAAATAATTTTAACACCTAAATGGTACAAAATTAATTCATTTGTGCAACTCAAACTATCAAGAAATAATATAAAGTATGCGTATTTAATTGACTTTATGAACCAGTAAATAATTCTTCAGTACTTAATTATATAATAACTTATTGTATATAATATAATATTGTTAAATTAATGTAAAAATAAAGATTGTACCAATTAAGAGTGAATTATAGGCTAATCAAATAATTACATTAATTAAGTATTCAAATAAATTGAAATCAATTAGCCAAAAAGCTGAGAAAATTAATCTATTGCTCATCATGCATTCAACTGCAACTGTTATAATGTGACGGCGAAAATTTATATGAATTAGTTAAAGCAAAGTATAATTGATGACGATATTAATACAGATCAATAGTCAATTGATTCCAAATGATACAAATGCGGATTAGATTTTTCAGCCATGTACTTACGTGAGTAATTCCATTTACGCCATAACCACTGTTTACAAATCCCTAGAAAATAGAGAAGCTATTAGTTACCATGCAAACGCAGACAGTTTTATGTGATTGTCCGAACGTAGAATATTATTAATATAAACGATATGAAATGCTTACATAGTCATGGAAAGCTTTGGCCTCACTACTGTGTTCACATGAGTCACGTCGTTCAGGTGCTGCACAGTATAAATCCCAAAATACGCTGCAAAATTTATATCGTTAGTATTTTTAGTCAATATGAGCAACTCGATAAAGACAAATAATCAAACTTACCACCACCAAGAGTGTAAAAATCCTGGTGGTTCGCCAAGTGTAATATTCTTCTCCCATCGAATCTGAAAAAATGGGTTTCAATGAAATTCATCAATTTGAAGCTCATTCACATTTTAATACTTTCTAACAAAAGTATTTCATTAAAAGAGAAAATTAATTTGATCTTGGAATATTTTTTTTTTCCTTACTTTAGAACTTTAATTATTGCATAAGTAGTCATCTAACAATAATAAAAATAGCAAGCTGTAATTAGTAATACAACAATAGAGCTAGTAGAATAAATATTCCAAGATTCATAAGAGATATGATAAAAAAAATGTTTTGGAGTAATATAAGTGAAACGATTTCGTTAAGCATGCAGTTAGAAAATGATGAACAAACAACAGTTGAGAATATTTATTAAAAATAAAATTTACCTCCGACAGGAATGTTTGTGCGGCTTTTTGTGCGCCAACGTGTAGTAAGTATTCATAAACATACAGAGCAAGCCTGAAACAAATAATGATAGTTTAGTTTGCAGCGGTTTCAAGTTATGAATTGAATAGGATGGTATGAGCATAATTAGAGTGAGGATTTTCAATCACGAATTGATGGTAAATGTCCAATAATTTCCGCTCGGCCTCAAGTGCATTTAATCGGACGAGTGTCAACGACCCAGCGTCACTTCTAACGGAATCTTATGGTTGAACCACAGAAGGAACGGCATACGGGGCGGCTTGGCGAACCGAAGGAAGCGAAAACAACGTGAACAATTTGCGTGAGAAAGAGAGGATGGAGAAAGGGACTTATATACTAGTAGTTGGTTATCTGGAACATAGCCAGGGGTGCTCAATCTTTGCCGACTGTCACGTGTATTATAGAAATGACAGCAAGGTTTACTTGTCGCTTATATGTTTGTGATAAAACTATTATGTTTTACCGGTTGATTTTAATCAAACACGTCCTATTCCTTCAAACTAATCGAACACAAATAGCACATCGATAACGATGCGCGTGCATGGAAGTAGAACGTGTCTCATGAACCCGGCACCTACTAAAGAATAAACAAAAATGGAGCAGTAAAACGAACATTAACTTGACTTTGATAGACAATGGATATCAGGTAATGACTAATTAAATGATTAATGAATAAATAATTATAATTAAATACATACTTTTCTCGTGCTTGACTGTCTGAGGGTACTGCCGACCCCTTTCCCTTCGCGTACATTGTTGTAGAGTTGTCAATCTCTCCAGTGTAGGCACGATAGTTCGAATGGCGCGAGGGCCAGTAAACGTCCAGCACAAATACTACGTCTCACTGAGAGAAGAGACGTAAGGGGGCACCCCGGAAAAAATACTGAAAGAAAACGTCAAATATAGCGTTACTCTTCTCAAATCTGCCAAGTAATGCAGCCTATGCGGGTTGAAAATGCAATCCTAGGAACAAGGGATTTTTCCGGTATACACACGCGTCACTCAGGTATGTTGTTGTACCAGTTGTCCTTTTTCTCATTTGATCCAACTATGCTCCTCATGGCTTCGTTTGCGGGTTCAACTCCGCTGGACAGACGTGCGTCGTCATCGCACGGATACGTCGTCGACGACGACGATAAGGACTAGTAGCTGATTCCCGGCGACGCTCTCGAAACCGAGGAAGAGGGCGACAGTTGCTGCTCCTAGTTACCAACTCTTATTCTTTTTCTATCTTTTTTTTTCACCAACGTTTCCAACACGTTGTTTCTTGTTTCTCTCTTACTTTTAACCAATGCCAATAACTAAGTGTACGTTTATTGTTTACGCTTGTATTACTACTTCACTAGCTATTGTTCGTTATCCGCGTCTCTGACACGTCACAGTAGCTAAGTTACGCCTCTCTTGGTCACTTCACTTCGTCTTCGAACCTTACTTCACCGTGCTGCCGCCGCTCTCGTCTCGTACACCCTCCACAGCATATACACTTTGACGCCGTGCACACAACGACTGCCCCGCTTCACCCCTCACGTACTCCAAAACTCTCGATATGTTGTCGCGACGCGCACGCCACGCTAGTGTGTTCGCAGACTTGTTCGCTCGTCTCTTCTACCAGAGCTTGTCGTGGGCAACGTGAAGAGAGGATACGAAAAACACACAGAACTTGGAATCACAGACACGCGTTCTTGCCTATACGCCGTTTAATATTTTACTACGCATGCGTTCGAGATCAAGTACTTGATGCGCGCGCATTCTAATCCAAGGTTCAGGTATGTGTCTATTCAGTCATGGTCCCAAATTTTCTTCCCCAAGGTCTAATCTTTTACCTTCATTTATAATTGTTATTTACTTTCTTGTGATAATTTATTACTATAACTAACTAACAATCACTTAGTTCGGTTCTTCATTGGTATTGTACTTTCACTAAACACTTTCGTAAAAATTGCTCAAAATTATCTACAATTTTGCAAGTTTTTCTCAAATTAATGCTCATGTTTAATGTATTATTCTTTTGGTTGAATTTATTAGTTCAATTAATTTTGTGATTATTTAATAATAGTTTAATTAATATTAATTGATACATTACTGATGTAAACGTGTTTTATGATTGGTTAAAATGTTTATGTGAACACTTGAGTGTACAGCACTGACACAATCCTAATTTCACTTCACCGACGCTGATTATAAGGAAAGGCGGGAGGTACGATGATACCCGACGTGACACGAGTATGTCCGATGTGAAATAGTCGACAATTGACAAGGCGTTGAGGGGCCGAATAAGGGAGACACTAGCTGTTCTCCTCGGTGTACAGCTTCCCCTTTCTCACTTCATTTTTCTCTCAAAATCGATAAATTCTCGTTACAAATAAAAATTTGAAGTAACATACATTTATTTAAATTATCTCTAATGATTTTTTGTTTATTTTAATATCGGCTTTTCATATTAATTTCATTTATTTTCTTTCCAATGCCATGAAAATATTATTATCCGGCTTTTGCAGGTGAATCTATGTATCAACTTGTTTTCTAATGAATGAAATATCTTTCGCAGGATTCACTAGCTAATGGAGAGTCAATTTTGGTAATGGTATCCCATGGATGGACCTGGAACTATTACGTGGGAGGAATTTGTGGAGAATGCAGAGAGTTTTGTCCGAGTTTCGGATGAAATTTTGGACAGTTGGGAACTTCGAGGTGACAAGGTACTATTCGATCGATAGAGGAATGACTCTCGTTGAAAACTGCAGCATATGAATGTTTTCAAACATTCATATGTATATTTTCGATAGATACTAATCAGAAATGTAAAAAAATCAGTTTCATAGCATTTAATTATCTATTCAACTTCATTAACCCGAATGATGTACAAAGTACAATCATTTAATAAAGTATTTATTAACAATCATTACAATTATGATATATCAGAGAAAAAATTATTGAAATGCTTCATTGATCATTTCTTTTTTTTTTACTCAATTAAATACACTTTATAAAAAAGTTCTTCTTTCCTAGCTATTTTAATAATCAAACTAATCTTTTTTATGGTAATTATAGAATAAAGCGTGAGAAACTCAGATGCAATTGAAGATTGAAGTTTATTCTAAAAAACGTAGTTGTTATAAAAAAAAGTAGTTAAAAAATTATTTTGTTATTGATATCAATAAATATTGATAAAATTAACCAAGTTAATGAGTTTGACAAATAAAACACTCAAAGTTGGATACTTCCAGAGTAATTTATAGCAATAGTAGTTTTATACAAAAAAAAAGTCTTGACAAATAATAATGTAAGAATGATTATTAACATAGAATATTTATGTCTCAATGAAATGTTTGACTAATTTTTTTTAAATAATATAATAGTCTAACTGTGAAAAAATATTTCAAATTTCATAAAATTATTGTTAGATCGTCATAAAGCAGTCATTAGAATAATTTAAAAGTGAAATCCCCAAGATATACAATTTTCTTAATCAATTAAGGAACACAAAAAATCAATTAAAGTAAATAGAATGTAATCTATAGATATTTTGTTTATATATTCCATATATAAGAATTAAAAAATTCATGATTTCATTTGTCGCGTGTCAGCTAATTTATTTCATATTTTTACAGAATAAACCTGCTCAGGCATATTTAATCCGTCAAGTCAAAACCTTTGTACCTTTTGATTATTTTATAATCAATCCCGAAGCTCAATCCATCGATAAATTAAACGAAGAATTTGTCAATAATATTAAGGATCCCTTTGAAGCTCAGAACACTCAAGAAATGCCGTTGATTACCGAACATCATGTATTATGGTCTATGAGCTATAGCGTTCCAGTATTATATTTCAATGCGTGGATTTCAGGTATGTTTTATTTTACCTTACATAAATATCACTTTAATTTTATCTTTCTGATATAGACTCATCGACATCTTCAAATGCTTGACTACTGTCTCGATATCTAACCCACTGGAGGTATGATCGGTACTAGACCTTAATCCACCAAAGTGCTGTGCTTAAATGAGAATTGTTTGGTTCTAAAGTCGGTATATATTGAACAAAGCCTGCAAGCATTAGATATAAATCTACTATTGAAAAATATTAAAAATAAAAAAGAGTTTTTATATCTTACTCTGACAAAGCATACATCCATATATACATTTATTCAAAATTATTTTAATCAGTATAGATTGATTTCAAGTTAAAGTAGACTGTTAGATTATTTGTAAATGATTACCAAAATGTGATTTATAAAAAGACGAGTATTACTATAATTATTTACTTGATAATCTATTATTTCGTAAATAGCCATTCAATATAGATAAAAGTATTGAAAACCCTTGCTTTTTGAGCTGTAAATTATAATAATGATCATTGGATTAATTTTGAAATTATATTAAAACGCTTCGATAAACATTCCAATAATGATTATACACATTTATTTCATTTGGATTAATTTGAATATAGTTTTGTTCATATTAAATATATTTTTAACTGATTGAGAGAGTTGTACATACAAGTAACGATATGGATATTTGCAGATTTTCCTGGTATTAATGCAGTGACTGTCGAACAGGCTCAACAACTTGTCCCTCAAGGAACTTTAAAGTACAATGAGTTATCCCAGGCTATTCACCCAATTCTCGGTACAATATTTCTTCACCTTCATCCCTGTATGTCCAAGGAATTACTTCAAAATACATCAACGAGGTACAATTTTCACAATAAAAGATTAAATGTTAATAAAAAAATTAATAACTCATAGACTTCTAGTAATATTAGTGTACAATAGAAGGAAATTTCTATAATGAAGAAATGATTCTTTGTATTCTTTCAGCAATAATAAATTAGTTAGCTGGCTGAGCACGGTTGCACCAGCAGCATTGAATTTAAAAGTTGGAAATGAATACTTTGAATTGACAAGGACAAACAAATCTGTTATTAGCAAGGAAGTGGACGAAGAGGTAATTCAATGGAGTAGAAAAAATAAATATAATAGAAACAATTTATCATAGATTTCTAATAACTTTTTATTGTTTTTAATACTGAAATATTATTCCAGAAATTAATCAATATCAATATTTGATTATTTTATAATTACGTCTATATTGGACGGTAATACTTTTATCATGATGATGAAACTGTGATCTCTGTTGTAAATAAAATCGAATAAGGTATTTAAATTGACTTTATATCTAGAAGAGTAAGCCATATCAATAACTAATATCATTTATTAATTACAATTTTTTGACAATATTCTATGACTGATGAAGATATTGACTATGTTGAAAGATTAAGCTTTAATGAAGTTCAAAAAATAATTCAATAACTTCTGGAATCTAGCATAAATTGGAGAATAGTTAAGATACTTAACAGATTATTAAGGAATTAATAAGATTATTCACCATAACGATGTATTATGATTATATGAACTGAAGAGAAGTGAATCGAGAGTTCCAGGACAACCGCCATCGATGCGTTCGCAAATGATGAGATTATTGATCCTATGAGTGAATGCGCGTGTCTGTTTTCTCGGAACGTGAGTACAGCATTTAGCTTTTCAAATGACACAGGTATTTGGCTGAGCTGTTGAAACCTCAGTGTTTATTCAACTCTGGATTTCCTACAATTACCAAAATGGTTTGATTATTGAATTTAATTCTATTCAACTAAAACAATTAAATAATAAATATAACGATAATAATTTTTTATTTTTCGTTGTTATTATTACGTTTATGAACAAAACTAACTGAGAAAAATTCAATCGTCATTCAGAATATTGTTTATGAATCGTTTATGCCTAGGCTACTGGAACTTTTCTTTCATTTTATTTGTAAATTAATTAATTGTTAAAAAAGAGGACAGTATTTTTTTATTAAATATGATGCAATAAATTTTTTATTTAAATACATAAATGATCAATGTATTTCGTTATCTTTCTTTTTTTTTTATACAGTAATGATCTAAGGTTGTACATTATTTATTTATCTGAATGACGCACTTGATTTTTTTCAATGAAAAAGAGACTATATTATAAACAAAAAGTATGTTGAAACAAATTTTATTGAAAAAGATGTCATCCGTAATTGTATCGGTAAAGAAGACAATGTGCTTGAAAGTTGCAAAGGTTCTTGGGGATGAAGGTTGTCATGGTTACGTAAAGCTATCGCTTGTTGCGTACCCAAAGGGAAAGGGGTTTGTCGGTCTTTTTATTTTTTTTCGCATTTGTATTTTTTTACCATTTGTTATGCTTTTTTATTTTTATTTTATTTACTAAATATTTTATATTCTGCATACATTTAATTAAAAAATTCATTATTATTTATTTAAAAATTATAGATGATTGTAATCAAATTTGCCTGGTAATTTGATTTTTAATGATTGTTATTATTATAGGGTTCTTTTTAGTATTATTATCATCAAAATTATTTGAATAAAGATGGGAGCATTCATTACTGAAACTGCAATAAATGTCAGTGGAACCGGAAGCAGGAAAGTGTGCAGCTCGTTAAAATTGACACAAATTTAATATTAAAATAGAGAGAAAGATTTTTACAACTCTTTTTGATTTTTATCCGGGTTTTCTTTCTTTTATTTCTTATTTATTTAATTATTTTTACAAATAACAATTAATATATACATAATAGCCGATTTTTTTTCTGTATAAATCAGGAAACTGTTGAGCACTTTGTGCTCAATTTCCGGCAGCATCATCCTCCAGTTCAATCGCATAATAAAGGGTCGATAAAGTGTGACAATGGAGACAAAAGAGTTTAACATATAACCGAAGAATTGTGTCGTTAAGATTTAGGAATATTGCAATTTATTTTCTTCTTTTAGGATTCATTCTTGATATATCGTATCCTTCAAATCACAATTAGAAAATAATATTTTGCAGAAAAGACGTATAGACTTAGCCATATCTCTCTCACTCTTGCCTTCAGTTTTCATCTATCTCAATTCCTCTTCACTCTGCCACCACTTCTAGCTCTCGTAGTTGGGTGTCCGCGTCTCTCGCATTTGAGCCTCACGCCACAAGTGTTCGTGGCGTGCTCGCGCGAAGGTGCCTTCTCTTGTTCCCACACGCACCTCGGTATTTAGATCGCGCTAAGCATCCGAACTGCATTACACTTCGGATCATTTACTGTACTTTATGATGATTAGAAAAAAAATTAGTACTTGAGTTAAATTTGAATTTTATTATCATTAATATTCAATTAAAAACATATCTAAATCATTCCATTTCTTTTTTAAGTGAATTTAGTTGTCTGCAGTTGTTAATAAATAATTGAATTTCCCGACTGTTATTATTGACTTGGAGATTGTGTTGACATATTCGTAGTGCTACTTAATTTAAAGAAGCTGCGATTGAACGGTTAGTCAATCTCATCCAACAAACTGTCAAGAAGGTTGACAAGGGTGCGTTTTTCCACCAGAAAATTGAGATGTAAGGATATATAACACAGTCACTCAAGCATTGTCTTCTCGATTTATCGTATGTTTACCTATACTCTTCGATCAGTCTTCTCGACACTTTTTCGTGGATGTTGAAAGGGCGGAATAGATAGAGAGGTGCGAAAGAGAGGGAGGATAAGTGAGGACGATGAGGGTGGGTTCCTCCAATGTGCTGTGACACGCGAGCATATATACAGGAAGAGTTAAATGAAGTGGAATTGAGAGATAAGTTGGGAGATGATCTAACTGATAGTCTAGTTTTTGATCGGATGTATTATTTTAGTTTAATAAAAAATAACAGTTAATGATCATCTTATCGATCTGTAAGTAATTAATCTAATCGCCTTATATTGTAGAATAAACAAATCGAGTTATCAATGAATACTGCATGATTACATGTTTATGCGACTCATTTGATATTTATCAGACATTTTACTTGATTTCCTTACTGACATTAAGGTTAATAAATATTTCATTTCATTTTTTCAATTAATTATGACGATCCAAAAGTAGTTACATATTTTCTTGTGTTTAATTATGGATAATACATAACAGGCTTATTTTTTTAATTAAAAATTTGCTGATGAGATTTTTTTAATGGAATCAATTGTTGTTGATAATTGAATTCTTAATTATTTTTATTGCAATTGAAGTAGTTTATTGTTGACACGTTTTATTGAAGATTATTCTTCTCTTTTATTTTCATAAATAAATGCACTCTATAAAAATATCTTAATAAAAAATTATCGAAAGATTGTGTTTTTCATAGCAATTCAATTCTACGTGCAAATAATAAAAAAAATTTAAACTTTAAATTCAGAGATGCAATCATTAATAAAAGCACATTTTAGTTTCTGCCGGAAAAGCTCTATAGACTCCGGCAAACCAATTTCCTCTATCAATTGAATCGATTTTCGATCCTAAATCGAGGTCAATCTTTTGAAAACAATGGATTGTTCGAATGAATTCTGTTTTTAATTAAGTCAAATAACGTCATCTTGAAGATCATCATTCTATCATCATATTAGAATTATACCTATATGGTGAGGATTAAGTTCATAAGCTCGATTATTACTCGACATTGAGGATAAATGACAACGTTGGCTAAATACTTTATCAAACCCCGAAAATTTAAAATGAGGTAAAACCCACCCAAAGTCCTACTTTTCCACCCAAATGAGGGTAAAATCGAGCACACAGATTGGTCTAAAAAATTTCTATGAAAAAGGAAAAAAAAAACCGATGCGTGAAAACGCAAGCTTTAAAAGCTTTTTCTTTTTAGTCGAGTAAAGTAAAGAGGAAGAGTATAAAAAACAAAAACGTACAACAAAAGTTTTTTTTCAACATTTTTCTAGGTTTAAATATTTCTTCTCATGTGGAAATATAATGAATTCTGAATTTAAATCTAAAAATTTGGGGAAAATGCACTCTTGACAATGGTGAGAGAAGATATTGTTGGTTAAAAAATTTAAAGCCAATGATGACGAAATTGTTCTTATTTACATAATAAACAACGGCGTTATGAAATCAAAAAGTTTATCATTGAATATTAAATTAATTTTATTTTTATGTTAATCTTGATTATTTCATGAAATAACAACTTTTTTTTGTAGAGAAAAAAAATTATCATTATTTGTCATCTTTTATTATGTCCTAAATTGTATTTTCTTTTAATTTATCAAACAATATTAAATAAATTAATAGATAAATATTTCGATTAGCCAGAATAATTCAATCATAACTATTATGATAAAATTCACAAGCACAAGTTTAAATTAAAAAATTCAGGAATATTTCAATTAAAAAAAATAATAAATTAACAACGGTTTCGTAATGGAGCTTTTGAATAATATAATAATGATATGAATGGAATTTTTTATCTCAATCGGACTTTATTCGAACAATTTTTCTCTCACCAAGGATCTTGTGATCATTAAAAAGAATTGAAATACTCAAAATAAAAACCTTGAAGGTCAGACTAGGGAAGAAAAGGAGGGAGATCAAAAAGTATCAACATCAAGCGGATCATCATCACGGTGTGTCGACAGCACTCATGTTGTTAATTCGGGGCGAGTGATCGCAACAATGGCAAATACTCTATAGCAGTTTTACTACGGGCTAAATGATAGCATAGTAGTCGAGTATTTGTGACATTATGATAGCCCGAAGAGGCAGGAAGGGATTGTCGTAGGGGGAGATCGCGACAGAGTATCGTCCATAGCTAATAGTACCACCCAAGGTGGCATAGATTGAAAGCCCCATCAACACACATCCTCTCTTGCCAGTGACCAGGGTTTGCCGCTCGTTTTCACCTCCATTGACGACTAAGTAATCCCACACGAGAGATCTATTCAGAAGGAAAAAAAAACCCCAGTGTGATAGCTGAAACGTGTGATAAGCTTTTGAAAGAAAAAAAAATCATTGTTCAGTTCTTTTAAACTCTGACAGACGTTTAATTGAGCACGATTTTTTTTGCTTTACTACCGGCATCACGACCACTTCGGTCCCCCTTGGGGACCGTTTGCTGCCTCCGCGCATCACTCTACACTTCCGCCTGACCGGAAGCGAGGTCCATGTGAACAGGCAGAAGTGACCCCGCAGACACCAAAACCGTCAACCAAACCAACACACAGCCAAGATATGGAAGTCGCCTCCGAGTTGTGAGTATTTTTATTTCCTTATTTACTTGTTTTCTATGTCATTATTATTTTATTTCAAAAATTACATTTTTTTTATCAATCTACTCATTTTTATTTCTGTCCTACTTATCTAGTGTTAATGTGATAATTTATCACCGTTTTAATATACTAATTGCATAATGATTATGTCTGATATCGTATTTTGATTTTCATTATTTTATCATAAGCTCCTTGCTTCTGTCTTGCAATTTTTCTCCCAAAGTTCGAAGAATTTTTAAATCGTATAATAACTTATGAGATAGTTTTGAATAATAAAAAAAATCGTCAGAGAATATTCTTTTCGTGATTTATAATAAGATTATTTTTAATTACCTTGAATTTTTTTTTTTCTTTACAATGCATTTTTCAATCTTATTCTCATGGGTAGTCTCTTTATAATTATCCCCATAGCTACCACTACTGAACTAGAATGCTTCGAATATCTTAATTATCATAAAAAATATCTGCAGAGATTATAAATAATCAAGTATTAAATAATTATTCTTGATAATTGATGATAAAAAGTCCATTTTGACAGTCTAAAAATTAATTAAAATATCATGAGAAATATTTATTGTGACAATATGTAAATAATTATCAAGTTTTACATTTTATCTTTCTAAAATAAAAGCAATTATTACCTGTACTCATATACTGAGATTATATAAAAGCAGTTTAATGTACATTTTATCGGTCAGAAGTGACGTTGTGTCTAACTAAATGCGCGGGAGAGCTTTGTTTGAGTATTTCGTAGATAGATTCTATAAATAAAGTAGCTTAAATTATATTTTAAAAGTGTCGAAATATGAAAAAGTTTTCTATTAAGCTAATACATTCTAACAATATATTTACAATAAGCTATAATAATTTATTGAGTAGATTATTATCAGAGAAATTTTATCAGCTACTTGGTTTATTCGTAAATAATTATTTCATCATTTATAATAAATTCTTTACTAAATATTGTTAAGTATTACAAAACACTTGTATGGCATTGAATGTTGGCAATGAATAATTATACACAAACCATGTAAAGACATGTTGTTTGCGTTTGTTATGAATCGTAATCAGGAAGGAATAGTTTAATTATGTATTTTTCATACTAGTAATAATCATAATAAGGATAAATAGCAATAAAAAGTTGTTTAATGCTTAAGAGTACTATTATCGTATACCTTGAAATAAGCTGAACGAAAAAATACTCTTTAGTTTAATAAAGTCGATGAATATACAGAGTTGAGTTTCATGCTGGTGGTAATACATATCTAGAGGAAATTCAATTTTTCATAGTTAAATGACAAAAAAGTGTCATTAACGAATTTTTTCGTTAGATATGTGATGTAATTATTTTTTATTGACATGAATAGTCTCTTGCTAAATTTTTATTTTATGTATATCATAGTTAAATGTGCTAAATTGTGACCTATAAAATAGTTTAAAATAAAATAAAATAATCAATTAATTTAATTGTTTTTAATTAATAAAATCATCATGACATATAAATGCTAAAGAAGTTGCCATTGGTGTCGCAAAATATTTTATTGTTTATTAATGTGTTGTTGTTTTTTTTCTGAATAATGTATTTTTTTTATTTATGAAACAATTATTAAAATTTTCTAAAGTAATTCAATTGCTTTACAGTTAATAATAATCATCAAGATTGAAGCTTGTGAATTTACAAATGAAAAAATTACTCTTGTTAATTGTTTTAATCATGAGATATTTTCTAAACAACGTTTTATTCCGTCAACTATGGAACAAATAAAACTAGTCACACTTTAATTGAACGAATCAAGTTCAAATTTCATTACCATCTACATTTATGTACAATTTTGACAGATATAAAACACGTTATTTAAATAGGATTAGTAGTATACCAAATATAAAACCCATGTTTTATAAAATGAAATATGTATTTTATTTATTGGACTTTTATCTCAAAGCAATAGTGTTACATCATTTTTTAGCTATATTTATATCCTATTATTATCATAAATTTGTCCAGATGTCTCACGTAATGGATGCGTCATTTAATCTTTAATAAGTTAAAAAAAAAAAACTGCTGTCAAATGAAAACAACTAAACACCTATGACGAATTTGTTCAAAACTGCTTAATTGATTGATTACTATTATTGCATATAAATAATAATATTATTTACCTTGAAGGAAATTTTACAACTCTGAAATATAATTATCATTTAATACTTGTTGATTTTAATGCAAAATTTAAAGATAATCTATAACATGTTAGAATTTTTCAAAGTTGTTGACAATTATTTTGGCACAAAATTAGTTAAACCAGGGAGTATTTTGTTCTGCATCTACTTGTTTATGTCATCACAAAAAACAAATATAATGACATCATTTGTTAGTGAAGTCACTAATCATTTATTGAAATTCATAATGACTTGTTAGAAAATTTTATTTGAATAAAAAACAATTTTTTTGTTCTTAACTATTCTAATTTACAATGCCAATGCATTCTTTGAGAATAATCTAATGCTATTAATTCATATGTTCATCGTTCCCTTCATCCAAATGTTGGTGATATTTGTTGAGAATAATAATAAGGTCATCAAAAGTATTTCAAGACCCTTTCAAGATCTTCTAAATTTTTTTAAGTCATCCCAGATTTTTTTTATCAATAAAATGAGGTCATCAAAGCACAAGGTTTCGTCAGTCACACCCATGAAAATTACTCAATGGGTTAAATAGAAAAATATCTTTGTGGTTGACAAAATAGTAACAGATGTGGTTGACAGAAAAGTAAATGAGCTTTCAATTCATCAGTGATTAATTCATCAAAAGTTTATTCAAGTTTTTTTTTGTTGATTTATATGACTATAGTATTTATAAACATTCAAGTAGTATCAATATTTCTTCATGGAGTGAAATAAAAATTGCATTACAACAGAAAAACTTGTGTGAGAAAAAGTCACGAATTTTGAAATTTTTCGTTAAATAATAATAACTCACTCAAATGATGTAATATTATGTAATATTTATTTACTACTTTTTTATGTATTCTTTATTCAATAATGTAATCGTGTGAGAAAAAAATCCAAGATATCAAATTTGTTGATGTCAATCACTTGAAAAGTACGTTAATCAATTATTTCAAGCAATTACTCATTAAAAAAATTGAAGATTTTTTTTTGTTGATAACTTCAATCATAATAAATTAAATTAAATTGATATAAAAGTTAGTTCTAAGTTTTATTGTATTTGCAATGACTGAACTAAACTTCCCCATTTACCAAATTCAATTATTCTACGCCTTCTAAGAACAAATACATTTTTTCATTTGGAAACTGATCCAAAATTTAATCGACTGAATTATGTAAAGACAGATATTAGTTGTATCACATGTTAGCATCAATTGTTTCCCAATATTGATTTTCATTCCTTTTTATCTTGATTTAAAATAAAAAATTGTTGTTCGACGTCTGATTTTTGGAGTAATTCATCTAAATTTGCTAAAAAAAAAAAATTTACATTTCGATATAAGACGTATATCTTTCAAAAAGTAAGTAATTTTTATAAATGATCTAAATATACAAGAATGGTAAGGGAAAAAAATACAGCAAGTTTTTTAACATGATGATTTATTAAGCAACGTCATTTTTTTTCTTCCGCATAAAAAACTAATACTTCTTTTAACCTATTTATAATTTAACATTACACTATGTCGAACACATTAATATGTGTCAGAGAGCACCCGTTAAGCATGCACCTACACGTGTAATCATCCATACAGCATCACCACGACGAATTCAATGCTCACACGTCGTCATATCCTGTTTATAAGCTTGTGTATGTGTATTCATATACTTATACATAAATTCAATATCGACATGTATAGAATGAGAATGTTAAATACCGCCTACGTATTTAATCCCCAATTAACAATATTGCTTTAAGAAGATCTCCGGCTTACGAATGAAAAAAAATCTTTCAGTAAAACAATTTATTTATTTATTTTTTAATAAATCTAAAAAAAAAATCATTAGAAATTTGATTTTTCTCCTCAAATTTATCGATAGCCAATTATTAAAATCCTCTAAATTAAATTATTTGATAAATTTTTTACATTCTAGACACAGTAGATCATTCTTTATTTTCAATTATCATTTAATGCTTTTTTTAAAATAATTTTTAATGTTTATTGTATTTTTTTTTTACTTGGATACAAGAATTTTTTTCAGAGCAAATGCTTAAGGTTCATCTTGTACACAACTCGATGCAATTGCTTATGATACGCATGAATCTGTCAGCCCTTTCAACAGCTCAATTATTTCCGAAACATTTGAGATATTAACCTCACTGGATAATATACAACATGACAATTGTCTGTTTAGGATGCATTACTAACACTAGTTACTACATTCTCAGAATTAATTTAATTAAATCCTCTAATACCCTAAGTGAGATTAATTTTTTTAATTCCAATAGTGTATTAATGTAGATTAGGTTTGTATGTTATTTGAATCATTCATAACATCTCACATTATCTGTGTATTCAATTTACATGTGTTTAAAAATTATTTAATAAACATTTATAACTCTTTTTATTCTTAAATTAATCACTTAATGTATTATTAATCCAAATAAATTGGAATCACTGAAATTGAGTGCTGTAACATTTATTGTATGCACAGTAAATGAATCAAATAACGATCAATAAATACAAGGATTTATTTATTAAAGATTAAATGATGTTCATGGAAGAAAAATGAAGAGTTTGATCAAAGGAACTTATAATGATCTTTCTCCAAATACACTTGGGAAAATCTTATCTACTACTTTTCGAGTTTGAAGTTTAATCGCTAAGATTTTTATTAGTTTTCTAATAATGTTGATGTTCTGAGTAGTTTTTAAAAAGAAAATTTTTTTTATCTTCCTTATGTATCCAAAAGCTTTATTTTTTTCCCCAAAATATCATAATTCAACTTTTATTGGCTCTGAAGACTTATGACTGAAGTTCAGTTTATTTCAAGTTTTTGATAGTTTTTCTTTTTGAATTCTCCAAGTTGGATGGAAAAATTTTTTTATGTTGTAATTACTTAATTATTTAATCTAATTGACATAATGTTTAATTTCTAGATCTCCTTTATCGGGAGTGGATGCGCAAGCGAAACCAGACATTGAGAGGAGAGCAATCTACAGAGATGGCCCAAACAAAGTACCACTCAATCGGCGGCAAAAAATTACATCTTGCCTCAGTCACAATGCACTTACGATCCTTACCATTTCCGGAGTCGTTGGTGGAATTATTCTAGGACTAATCCTGCGAAATGCGCGAAGTAGTTCATGGAGTGAACGAGAAATTATGTACGTCAACTACGTGGGCGAATTGTTCCTGAGAATGCTCAAGAGCTTGATTCTCCCACTCATTATTGCTAGCTTGGTATCAGCCATTGGCTCCTTGGATTTATCACTCAGTGGGAGGATTGGAGCACGTGCAATTACCTATTATATGGTTACAACCGTCAGTGCTGTTATATTGGGTAATTTCATTATACCAAAAATAATATCTATTAGTAAAAGCTAAATTGTGATTATTCAAGTATTTTTATCTCAATTATTTAAATGATATTAGGAATTATTCTGGTCATAACAATCCAACCAGGAAAGTATGGAAAGTCTGACAACAGTACAATGAATAATAACTTAGGTGCTAGGAACGTTTCTACTGTTGATACGTTGATGGATTTGGTGCGAAATATGTTTCCACCTAACTTGGTGCAGGCCTGCATTTCACAGTACCGCACCGTACTTACAAGACAACCTAATAATACTTCTGGTAAGTAATAAAATTAGTTATTATGATAATTAAACATTCAAACTAAGTTAAGTTTAACCTTGTGATTTATTTAACAATATTGATATATGAACTTTTTTTAAAAGATATCTAATCATTGTCACTAATTTTCTAGTTAATTAAAATTCCATTTTTCCTGAATGTAGGTACTGATAAATTAATTTTAATTAGTGAATAAATTTTCTGATTAGATGACATCAACACTTGGAAGATTACTAGTGAAGATGCTTCAGGAATGAATATCTTAGGTCTGGTTGTATTTGCGACCGTACTTGGAATCACTCTTGGAAAGATGGGTCCTGATGGAAGACCTTTGCTCAATTTTTTCGAAGCTTTATCTTCTGCTATGATGATCATTACTAACTGGGTAATCTGGTGAGTCATCAAAATTTTAATATCGTTTCAAATTTATTATTATTATATTTTTGTATATTCCAGGTTATCTCCTGTTGGAGTATTGTTTTTGGTATCTTCTAAGGTCTTAGAGATGAAATCATTCGACGTAATCTTAGGCCAGCTGGGAATGTATTTTTTGACAGTAATAGTAGGACTTGTTATCCATGGATTTCTAGTATTACCAACGATTTTCTTTATTCTGACGAAAAGAAATCCTGTCATATACATTTCGAATATGGCTCAAGCAGTAGCTACTGCTTTTGGTACATCTTCAAGTTCTGCTACGCTTCCGGTAGCTATCGGTTGTTTAGAAGATCGCAATGGAATTGATTCGAGAGTCTCTCGGTTCGTTATGCCTATTGGCGCCACAATTAATATGGATGGAACAGCTCTGTATGAAGCAGTAGCTGCTATCTTTATAGCTCAAGTTCGTGAAATTTCCTTAACTTTTGGACAACTTGCAGCAGTTAGGTAAAATATGTTTTATTCTATTATTTATTTATCACGAAAATTTTTCTTCTATATTGCAACATTATTAATAGAGTTTTCATGTATGAACTGATAAAAGAACCGCTAGAGATAGTTGAAAAGCTGATGAAATAAAATACTTCTTTGTAAAAAAATTCATTTTACTGAATTATTAAAATGATCATTATACTCGTATTAATGAAAAAAACTAAAAAAAAAAAAAATAATAAACTCCATTATTCAATTGAAAAAAAACTTTTAAAGTATTACTCCATTCTTATTCTTCATTTTTCATTGTATCGTGAATATAAACAATATTTATAACGATTTTTGATTTTTTTATGACTGAACATTGAATAGTAAAATATTTTTCTAGTATTACTGCCACTGCAGCCAGTATTGGAGCAGCCGGAATTCCACAAGCTGGTTTAGTTACCATGGTAATGGTTCTAGATACTGTAGGACTTCCTGCTAAGGATGTTACATTGATCATTGCTATAGATTGGCTTTTGTAAGTTATCTTGAATAGAAAAGTAGATGAAAATAAAATATCAAATATTTTTACAATGAAAAATATTCCTGTTATACAGAGATCGATTCCGAACGTCTGTGAATGTTATTGGAGACTCTTTGGGTGCAGGAATTGTCAATCATTTAAGTAGAAATGAGCTTGCAGCATTACCACACAATGTTCAATCACAAAATGGTGCAGATCATCATACAACGTCGATATGAATTAACTGAAATATCAATTCATGACAATAAAATTCTGACCAATGCAAATAAATGGTCTTATATTAAATTAAGCATAATAATGATAATAATAATTATTAACAATAATTTAATTGAAATTAATAATATTAATGATTAACGAAATTGTTGATAATAATAGAAACGATAATGTTATTGATAATTATTGAAATATCAAAACTTATTTTGTAAGTTTCCCTACATTTAAAAAATCACCATATACGTGTTCTAGGAACCTATGTGTTTCATTTATTTATGTTTTGACAAAAAAACTCAATCATATTCACCCTGCAGTAATTTAAACTTATTAACTATATTTTTTTTACTGACAAATCGACTGATTTAATTTACTAAATTTTTCGAAACATCAAATAAAAATAATCCAATCATATATTTTCGATATAGCAATGAAAAAATAAATTAAATTCAGTGAAAAAAAGTATAGAACTGCAGTTCAACCCCATTACGTAACAATTTTGTTTTTGTATTCAATTAATATCCGTAAATGATATCGTGAATTGTAATTAATATACCGTTACACTTCTATAAATATGAAGTTTTAAAAAATAGAAATTATCAGAGTAATATATTAAGAACATAGTAAAATGAATGAATATATTAAAAATAAATAACGCTGGCGAATATATCAGTTAAATTAAGAAGAAAATTTTAAGATATGGAAAAATTTAATTGTTTATGAAAAGTAATAAAAAATATATTATTAAATAGTTATAAATATGTATATTATATATCACATGAATCAATTAACTATCGTTGCCAAACTCATACATTGGATAATAATTAATTAATACTCATTATATATGCAATAGAAAAATTATTAACTCATAATAATTATGAATGGTTGAATATTGATGTTCGTAAAAATTTCAAATTATTGTGTACAATTATTGTATTTTCGGCTTGCCAAAACTGATGAAAGTCAATAAAATGTTGTTTAAACAATAAGAAATTTAAAAATTATATTTGTTAAATGAATTTAGCTATTTTTTGAAGTAAATAAATAATTTTCATGTTTCTTCGAGTCCTCTAAGTCATGTTACTCTACTTTAAAGATTGAACAGTAATGAGAAAAAAATATCTCAATTTACCAATGACGAAACTTAAATCGATAAAAATAGTGTTTTGATTATTTACGATGCAATATTGTCAATAGGAGGTATAGTTGGTGAAGAAGTCTAAGTTGGATTATTCTGTCACGTGCCTACCAATCGAAAATAGACATCCGCGTGTTAGTCATATCAAATGTTCATCTTGATCGACCTGTCATTCAAATACAAACTCGTCTTAGCGACATTGCCAGTAAAGTGATTGTCGAAGGTTGTTAAAATAATCATTATTATTATGATTTATTATCACTCTTAACCAGAAATAATTAATAGTCACTTTTAATTATTTTGTTCGTTAGAGTATTATTTAATTATCGTAACGTGAATATGTTATGATTATTCGGAAGGCTGGAGCAATCAGATCGTCTCGCTCAGGAACGGGTAATGAGAATTAATATAATTGCTGTAAACGCGAGTGCGAGTCCACATAAAATTAGGAAGTGCAGAAGCTATAGAAATCTAGCGAATCAGATCTTATTGGGGCCTTCGACATCCTCATCACCAATCGACGATAAAATTATTGAAGAAGAAGAGGAATACAATATGGTTGAAGATGAACTAGCAGATGAGTTAAATGGTAAATTTGTTTAATTATTTATTTTAAAAAGAAATTTTATTTGTTCATTAAATGTTCGTTTGATCATTTCCTAGCATCCCTTTCTCAACAACTAATTAGAAATGAAAGTGGAATAAATAATAGTGTTAATGAAAATAACAATAATAATAATCGTCCTATTGGTTGGCAAGTTCAAGATGACGAAGACACTAGTGACAAAGAGGATGATGATGAAGTTGAAGAGGCTAATTTAGAGTCAGAAACTAATGACGATCTGAATGTGAATAATCTTTCTTCAAGTTTATCTCATGCAGGTAAATAAATTTTTTTTAATAATTACTCAGAAACAGAGCTCTATCTTAATTGCAGCAATAAAAATCTTCTAACAGTCAGATATAAATGAAAAATGAGCAAAATATTTTCGATATTTATTTATCAAAAAAAATAGTTGTATTGATTATAATTGTTAAATTGTTCCATGCTCAGCTAGAGTAGAGAGGAGAGTTTTAAAAGTCTACTATTTAAAGAATGCCCAAGTATTTTTAAAAAAATAAAATAAAAGTTTCATTGGTTTCTAGATCCTCCAGAAATTAGAGTAACGACAGATGACGACAGTCTCATACAAATGGCTCAAGAATATCGAGGAAACTTTGACGGGTTTGCTGAAATTAATCATTTCAATACAATCGAGGAGATGCATGACTTTATAAAGAATACTTTGGAAATTTCTCCAACTTCTACTAGTGAAACAGCTTCTCACAAGCAAGAACTTTATCTTGACATTTTATTGAATGAACCACCGGAGGATCGTTTTAGACGATTGTTTGAAACAAGTAGACAGACGGTACGTCAAGTTCTTATAAGAAATGAAGATATTCTTCAAGAATTATTTGCATCAGCGAGTTTAGATAACTTTCCAAGCCCTTTGGCATCAGTAGATGATAATGAAATGAACGAAGATGATACTACACATGAAAATTCTAAGGATATTGATGTTGAGGAAAATATGAAGAGATGGTATATGATTGAAATGATTGGGCTTTGGTTGAGAATGATAACTGATGTAAAAACTTACAGAGCTGCTATCAAGTTAGCTGTTCTGATGAAGATGTGGGGTATTGAAAATAATAGATATGAAGGAATCGCTGTTCCATTGAAGTATAAATAATCAATTAAAACCAATTGTCTTCAATTCTGGCAACCTTGGTAACTAATCAAAACTAAATTAAAAAAATCATCTTGGCTATTCTCATTCTTATTGCTGAGGTAGATGATAAATTGATAAAAAATATTGTTAATAAACTTATTACATTGAAAATAAAAAAAGTTATACTGTTGTTGTTAGTTTTTATTCTTTTTTATATTCGATAATTGATATTAAGTATGAAAAACAATTAGCAATCTATGATTCAAATTATTAACATGCCTCGACAATAGTTAAAGAAATAAATAGTCGTTGCCTGACCATGAAATACTGTAGACTGCTACTACTGTCCGTTCGTCGATATTATCATTCTCTCTGTTCTGTTTCTACTTAAGGTAGTGACTTACATTCTAACTTGATGTTTTGCAATTGATTACAAAATTTTTTACAATTTATAAAAAATATCTATTAGCATCATTGAATCAAGTCGAATGTTTCAATAATTTCTTTTCATTTTTATTCAATTATTTATTTTTACTATCCATTATTAAGAAGCTTATCTTTATCTCTGTGTTATCTACCAGCGAGTATCAACAATTCTATTTACAATCAGCTTATATTCTTTACATGATTTTAGAATCGAACTATAAAAAATACAAATGTATTATTTAATCAGTCTAACAATCGATATTAAATTGTCGAGCTTATTCAATAGAACCAAATAAAAATAAAATTTCTAGAAATACTTTTCCAACTTGCACTCTCTGATCACGATTTACTCTACCTTCATTCCTCTCTCATAGAGTTCGCATCACAACAACAATTTTCCGAGCTTTGTCGATAACTTTATTAACAATTTTTTATATTTATCCATTTATTTATAATGTCATACCTCTTGAGATAAATAACTTGTTCAAATCATTCAGAAAATACTGTTTTTTTTTTATCTTTAATTATCATCTAAATTACTTTGGACAGTTGTTTTTTCAAATCGATTATTGTTTCCCACGTAAATCGCTAGTCTGGACGCCTGTTAAAGCTCAGATTGAGGATCAATGAGAGGAGAGTTTTCCACTCGATAATATAATTTTTCTACCAGAATAATTGAAAAAGGGTGAAATATATGCATGGTCAATGAGTAAATTGGTCTCTGGAGTAAAGAATAGTGGTCGCGTGTCATACACGCTGTTATTAGAGGGAAATATAGGGGAAGAAACATGCGCAAAATAGTAGTGCGCATTGGTGCAGGGAGCGGGAGGCTGACGTGTTACTATGACAGCAGTTTCGGCCTAGCAGTCCGCAATGTGACACCGTTCTTCTATTGTATATCACTGTGTTTATTATTTCATTTGACGCACGTTGTTGCATTTCAATAGACTCTAACCAGAAATTGTCTCACATCTTTTACGATTATGGTGAGTACTGCAATATGTACGTAGCACCGACTATTATAGCAAATGATGGCGCAGGGTCGATCATAGGATACGAGCTTGCGGTTATACCACCCACCGCACACGTTTCTACGAGCCCTCACTCTTGCAGGGCGCATTTGCAAATCTACCGGCTCATGTACGCCAACTATTCCGGATATATAACAAGTGTATATAGAGTTGCCTGTTCCTTATAAGCCCGGCTCAAACCTTATTTACACCTCAGATGTTGTTTGCTCCATTGGGTTATTCTGATTAATATCCGGCCGATAACCTCAAGCGTCATTTGCTACTTAGAAAGCTCTCTAAACATCAATTATTTGCCAATATATATTACGATATTATAGTTACGCGATTAGAATTTATTCGACAATGAATATTTTTATTATTGTATACTATAAAGAATTTGATGATACCTTTTAAGCAAATTTATTTTTAAAATATAAATATTCATTTATAAGTTTATTTGACTCTAATTAATTTTAAGTATTATAAAGGAAAATTTTTAATTAAATATTTCATTTTTTCAAAGTTAATTTAAAAAAAAACTTTTATTGGTTTTATTTAAACTTTAATTTGTATCTACTCGAGTGTAACTAAAGTTTCCAGGTGAATTGTTTTTATTGAAGTTAACTTTTTAGTTAGAGTATGTTAATGAATCTTGCTAAGTGTTGGTAAATTTTTTGTCAGGAGAATTCAATTTTTTTATTTTAAATCAACTGATCGGATTTAAAAATAACTTTAATATATTTCATCACTTGTAAGAAGATTATTTCAAATATTATTATTTAATATATTATTATTGCCGAATACTTGGTAGCAGATAAAGCTTTTTTATCGTTTAGAATAATTTATTTTAATGGAATAAAATTTGTTCAAATGTTTTGTATGAATAGTAATTGTAAATGATTAATAACAGAACATGGATAAATTTTATAATCCATAATTCAATCGCATTTATTAAAAGAACTTTTAAAAGCACATTTCCTTACGAATGTGTTCCAAACCAGCTTTTTAATTAAACGTGGTAAGAAAGTTATAAAAAAAATATAGCAACAATAAAATTTAGATGTATAAATAATAATTGGAAATAAAAATGTAATTTTAAAAATTATAATAAAAATCAATGAGCTCTTCTATAGAATATTAAGCTAGATATGTCACGTAAATGTAGATAATAATTAAAATTTGATCAAGTATAATTGAAACTGCAGTAGAATGTTTTTAAAAGAGCTCTAATCATTTTTAGACTGAGTCTCAACGATATAATCATATTACTGGCGGTATAAGCTAATTTTTATCAGCTAATAAAACTCTAAGTCAGCAAAAAATATTTAATCAATACTGAAATTACTAGAAAATATTTCCATAAACTAAAAAAAAAATTGTTACTTTCTTTTTAAAAATCTTGAAAAGCAATTTTAAATATAAAATAATATCTAACAAAATGTAAAGCGATTTTTTTATCAGTCAATAAAGCTTCAACTTAGCAAAATGCAATTTACTCTATGCTAATAATAATCTCCTATCCACGAATATATATCTATGTTGGTATGTATTCTACCTGCGTCTTGAAACCTTTATATATCAGCTTAAATTTATCTACTTATGAGTGAGCGATGTGACGTACTAAAAAATGCACTTTCTATCCCCATCAGTAGATATGTCTTCAACAATCCACGTAGCGAATATTAAAGAAGACATAAGTCGTTTTTCCATCTACTTTTATCCTTCTTCACTCTTAAATTCGTGACAGTAGATGACTCTCAAAGACTTGCACTTTAGTCTCGTCCCCTGTGACTCTTCATTCTTGCTTCCCTTGCGTTCAATATCATTTTCTATGGAGTCTCCATGACCGTCGAGAGACCCTCAATATTTTTTATCAAGTATAATATACCTTTGTTGATACATATGTACCATATATATACGATATTCTTTGTGTACATTCAACTGTAACTTGCAATTCAATTGCTTTCTAGAAAATCTATAAAAGATTTTACATTTCGTCGCTAAAAAGACGAAAAATAAAATAAATGTTTTGTATCGACTGAGTATGATCAAAGGAAAGGGATATACATATATATATATATATATATATATATATATTTTTAACTAGTAATTATAAAAAGAATACAATTGAACAAAAATAGATTAAAGGGGACATAGAGTTTGTGTAATCAATGCAGTTGTCCTCCTTGATCACATTGGTACGAATACATTGCATGAAAAAGGGGACAAAGACCCCATTTTATGATACAATATCTAAAGGGTTGAAGTCATAACAAAAAATAAAGACTATTCAGGGATGTTCATGAAGGAATTTTTCGGAACTAGAATTGTTTTTTATTCAACTTTTACTAGATATTATTTATAACATACTAGGATGATTGAAAAAAATTAAAAGATGAGATAGAGAATGAAATGAATGGAAATTTATTTCTGAGCAGGGTATATCTTTTTTATTCTAATAATCCAGTGAAAAAAAAATGAATAGATAACTTTAAAAAAAGAGTTCAAGCCCTGACAGTATTTTTGTTTCTGTAATCCGATCATTTTTTACATTCAACAATTTAGACGAAAAATTCAATTGTCAATTTTCTAGATAATATTGATATTTTTGAGATTCTGTAAATAATTATTTCATTTCAAATCATTTGCATATTTTTTCTCTATCTATTGATTAAATTAATGGATATTTTTAAATTGAAAAAATAAGATAGATTCCCAGAAAAAAAAACATTATCCAATAGATTGTTATTAAATCTATACTTAAGCTTGCAGAATGTAGAGAAAAATAATTTGATTTACCCAGAAGGAAGGTATCTCATTCAATAAAATTATATAACAAGAAAAGAACTGAAAGTAAAATGCCTTTAATCAAATGAATCAGCTGAGATCCATTTCATAATTTATCTCTTTATATTTGTTGTAAAGGATTTTTAATAACTATAATTATCACTAAAATGGAAATGAACTGAATCTGTAGAAAATTGAATAAAGAATCTAACGGTAAATATTAATTAAATTTAAATGAAAAAATGTTTAATTATGGCTTTAATCAATACATCCAGAATAAAATATTCAGTTATTAAAATGAATAAAGATAGTATTTTTCCTATCAATTTTAGATTAATAAAATTCATTTCGAAATTTAAAAATCAAAGAATAAAAATACTAATAATATTTAAAATGATACTTGTAAAATTTATCCATAAAATTAATAGTCTCTGCTCGTGATAGCCAAGCAATTTGCATTGATTTACATTTTGCTTGATATTGGAAGGATTTTCGATAGACTAATACACGATGAGTAAATATTTGTCAAACTCGTGCATGTTTATTGGCATTAAAATTGTCACATCGTGCACTGAATAAATGTTTGTATTATCTTAAAGAGTTTCACATGATATATTCTTTATGGATATTACTTCTTTATTATTTCTAATATTTCTGTTCTATTTTTTATAATAAAATAAATATTTATTAAAGAAAAGGAAAAGAATAATATTTTTTAAAGAACGTAAAAAGTATTGTGATAAAGAATCTTCAATGATCCGATTGATTGGCTGTGATCAGTTATTTGCATTGTGCTCATATTTCGCATCGAATTTCCCTAGGGATTAAAGTCTAAATGTACTAACGTCAAGATCCATGCATTTTTCCATATATAATTATAAAATATCATGTGAGTAAATTTAAAAAATTTTTGTGCAATATGTATTAAGCGACGAATTGTTGATTGGTTGATGAAGTAATCGGCTTT